GCTCTTCTCTGGACGGTTCCCTCTTCTTCGTTGGAAACTCAAATACTTGTTGATTCTGATGTGTCATAGTAAGATGGCGTTTCAGAACTTCATTGTAGCTTGAGGCACGTACACAGCATGCCTTTGCTGAGCAGCATAGCCGTTAAATAGATTTCTGGAAACCCTGTCGCAGCCGAAGTTGGTAAACCTCTCCTGGATATATTAGGTCCTCGGTCCGATGTGCAGGGCATCCGATTGTCGTTGAACGGCCGAACCAGCATCTCACGCCGATAACCCACATCCCGATCAAGGCAGCATGTACCCCGGCTTTAGACTTCCATGTGGTTGTGTAAACATGCCCGATGCTTACCTGTCAAAGACGTCTCATACAACGATGCGCAGGGTACGTGCAGGTATACCAAACTCCGCGTTATTGCCGCCGTTTCAGCCTGTCACATGAGACTACCTCGATCTCGAGAACGGTGTTCATAGTTGCACACCGTTGTGGCTCGATGTCTCGCAGGGATATCGTTCGCAGTTACGCGCGGGGTATCATCCGGTGTCTTTGACGAATCCTGGCGTCCTTATGTCTGACAACCATTCGCGGAGGTGACTATAGTATCCGCTTTGCCGCTACTTCCGGTATCACAAGATTTTTCCATCTTCCAGTCTTCGCGCTTGAACCTGAACGGAGTCACAGCTGAAGCTTTGGTTAAGCTTTGGATTATGGGGTCTGGTGACGACTCTCTGCCAGGCTTGTCGAAGTGGAAGTCATACCCAGCCACGGTAGCGAAGATGAAGATGTCTCCCAAACCGCTTGCTATATTCGTTGTGGAGTCTCGATAGTTTTGAACATGCTCTGCGTTGTCTGATCAGCCTTCCATGTGCATAAGCAACGCTTCTTGCGTGATCTCCTTCGCTTTGTTATGGTGTTCCGCTGTGTAGCAGAGAACGTATCACGGCCGCGACTACGGGAGGGCTTCCGGAGGAAGTCCGCAATATCGCCGACCTGGTAGCCCATCGTAATGCGAAGGGTTGTATTGGATGAAAGGTCGCTGCCCTATTGGTATTCGAGTCGTGCTCGCGTAGATGGCAAGCTGAGAGCCTGTTGTCTTCTGCTTCCCATCTCGATCGTATGGCGGAGAGGGAAGAGGGATCTTCTTCGGGAACGTTGACATGCTTGCGCTCTTTGTACAGCCCTTGCTTGTGCGAGAGTCCTCTAGGCCGCTGAATGTTCGCTGGCTTGGTGTTGCAAGTTTTATGGGCGCATGTTCAGGGCGTGATCGGTCAAGGTCAGAAAGAGCTTGCTGGGGACGAGAGGTAGAAACTTCAGGAGCTGTAGTCATCTACACTCAAGGAAGAGGACTACAGCCTTCTGATAACTTCGTCGTGGTTGCATTGGGGGTTGTGAGGCCCGTGTGGGTGGGGTGTTTCGAGACCATGGGTTGAAGCTCGAGGCAACATCTCGGGCATTGTGGCCCTTGCCCGAGGAAGGACCAAGACCAACATCACAACAACATCACGACATCACACGGGACTTAAGCGAAGGCATTCTAGGGGCTACAAAGCTCTTGCATGACCTCAACTTTACCTTCTATGCAGGGGCAGGAGGGGTAAGCTAGAGCGCCGTCTGTTTGATAGAGTTCCCTCTTCAGGATCCAAGGAAGCAAAGCTGGACAACATTGTGGTCACCCAGAAGGTGTGGCAACTAGCATCGCCATTCACGGAAGTAAATAGGCTGCTGTGAAGGTAATCTAAGAGCTCAATGCTTCTCAGATGCTCTCTGAAGCTACCTCCTTCCTTCTGGAATCTCTTCCTGGCTATCAATTTGCTTTGTCTCTTCTGAATTAGCCTGGTTCCGCCACCTTGACCCCCCTTCGGCTGTCCCCACAACGATTTCTGGCCCAAAATCACAGCTAGCCCTTCTTTCTTCACGACACCACCACAGCCGCCTTCAGCGAAAGAAGGTCTTGGAGCTGCAGAACCACTACTTCCTCTGTAACACCTGCTTTGTATCCTCTTCCTCTCTTGGTCGCCTTGAGTCTCTCTACAACCTCCGCTGCCGCGCCAGCCTCCCGAGTAACGATTTCCGGACCCTCCCACACCTCTACGACGGTAGTAGTCACGGCGCGTCAATAAAGAAGCTTTTTAGCTGCCTTACCGATCTTCCGAAGCCTCTATAGGTATATCCTACCCCTTGTTTGGAGACTGAGATCGGTACGAGCGGCTGTGGACAATGCCAGGGATCGCTGAAATTCGCGTGACAGTTATGAAAGGTAAATGTATGTCGAAAGACACCCCGACTCCAGGCGGTCCGTGGTGGAGACGATAGTGAACCTTGGCGTCTACCATCATACGGTAGCATTAGCTCTCTGTCAACAGCGACTGATTCGACTGCACCGACGAACGAGTCACAAGCTTGCATGTCTTCCGGATACCGATGACAAGCGGCTCGAGCGTAGATGAGAGGTAAGCAACATAACAGGTTTATCGCGACGGACTGTTTCCATAACAAAATGAGGAGCGTAGTCACAATTTGCCAAGATCGTCTCTAGCCAGGTGTATCGCGCTTATATGTGCTATTGATCAAGTGTAATATCCACCCGCCCGACATACTCCTCACCCAACGCAGCTGGACCGAGTTTCCGCCCTACTGCCTCCCACGTACTATACTCGAGATTCGACAAGAAGGCGGTACAAATGTAATGCACGCGCACAGTCATGTCAGTATTACAGATACTCGAAGACTTGACTTACTCGAGCGCTCGCTAGAAGCTACATTATATCACGCCACGTTTCTTCGCTTCATAATCTTCGCGCCTCTTCCATAAATTATAATAAGTCTAGCATATAGCTACGCCTGCACCGACACCAAACCACCTTTTCAAAACCTCTCGTTGGTATGAGGAGGTGTTGACGCGCCACGCCGCTGTCGAAGGAATGTCGAAGATCAATCAGTTCATGGTACCCTCTTGCTTTCGAAGCAGAGATGGGTAACTGAACGACCAGCCGTCAAAAGTCGCCTAGACTGAGACTCTTGTCTTTGCAATACAGATACCGGTTGGACATCAATACGTAGAGTAATCAATTATTTTTGCTTCGATTTATCGTCTCTCAAGTTGAACGTTGACGCAGACGTGCTCAACATTGAACAGCATTTATTCTACCAACCATGAGCAAGAGCGTTTAGTCGCTGCCTTTGTGAGACGTCACGAATGTGTAAATATGCGATCAGGGTCTGATACCAACGGTGCTATCGAAAGACCGAGTTACTCAGATAACACGTCCACCTCGTTTCAGGAAATCAGGGACCAAACGTCGGAGACCCTTGCCAGTGGTTCACAGGCTACGCAATGACATGCTTGTCACAATTAATGATTCACTACAAAATAGCTCACGATGCTCGTGCGAGGACGATTTGCAAACGTGGTCCATCCGCATCACAGCCAGTTCGGAGTTCGCACGGTGCGCAGCGATGACGATCACGTCGTCGATCCGGGGAGCTCGCACATGCAGATCCAAACCTCACCAAAACCAACTTCAGACCTCACACTCGTGTCGTTAATGCAAACTTTGGTGCTGTCAACGGTCTGGACACAACTGCAGATGTCATAGCACTATCTCTTACGTAGAAGACTGCAGTAGCCTCCTCGGAGAAAAGTTTAGGGTGACGGTGCGGTCATGCGAGCGAAGCGCCTAGGGTCGTCAGCGTGGTTGATAGCGCTGACGGGTTATCCCTGCGAAGGCTTGCATCATCACTGTTGTTGCGCAGCAACGAAGTACACAGCCGCGTAACGATATATAATCATGTACTGTGTATATAATATTCAAAACTCACAGAAACACTATCTGCATTACAGCCTGGACAACATCCAACAATTCAAATTCCATCATAAAGTCAATTTGTGATCGGCGCTAATAGCAAGGTAAGTACCGATAGTTCCGGCGTGGAAGGGACGATTGGACCCTCATACGTCACTGCCAGTTGCCCAGGGTCCTATGACGCTGCGACAGGACGACCCGCTTCCTCCCGCCCACTGCTATAATTCTCCAGCCCCAGCCCAACCTCCAAGCAGCAGATCATTCATCCACGATTTCTCGCTTCAGCCACCCGACTCATTCATCTCCACAGAGACCCTGACGCTTTGCTAGAAACGACAAACTATAGTTTGTTCGCAGCAACACAACACTCAACACCCACATCTTCATATATCCATCAACAATATGGTGTCAAGAGCAGTTTCCATGGGCCTTCGTGCCTGGCAGGTATGTCTATAGCATTCGCATCCAGAAAACTCCTACTAATATTCAATAGTTGATCTGCGCCATCCTCGTCACCGCGTTCATGGGTAACAACATTGCGCGCGCTTGGTCGGGTGTGCACTCCATCGTCAACTACTCGCTCTTTGTCGGTGTCTGGTGGTTGTTCACTTTGCTGTACTTCCTACCTACATCCTTCATCGAGAAGTTCAGCATCCCCATCGTCGACATCGCGATGGATGCGCTCAGTGTGCTCTTCGGCTTCTGCGCTGCTGTTGCTCTTCCCGCATACATTGGTGCACACAGCTGCTCGAACAGCGTAAGTCTTCTTCAAACAGCAATATAAGGGAATTCATACTAATCCCACACAGGCATACACCCACTCCAACAGCGTCCTCAACAGCTCCGCAAACACCGAGCAGAACTGCCGTCAGGCTCAGGCTACTACTGCTTTCCTCTGGTTCGGATGGGCTGCATTCGTTGCTACCCTGGCCCTCAACATCATGAACGGACGCGGCAGCGGTGCCAACCTTCGCGGTGGCATCCGCCGTGGCGGTCCCGCCATGAGCCAGGTCTAGGATGCCTGCAAATCTTACTCTGACGGCTCTTGGAACACACGATCAGATGTCAGCGATGTCTGAGATTGCAAGCGTCAAGATCGAGCGTCACGATTTAGAACATGTATGATATGAAGACGGAAATACATCGTGCTTGATGCCGATGCTGGATAGGATGGAATGACTAGGCAAAGGATTTTAGGATACCAGGACACGTCTACGACGACATGCGGCGTTTATCTTGATCTTTAGCGATTGTAATAATACTATAGCTAATACGATTTGAATTACGATACCCAAAAACATGCGCATTGTCTTGCATCTCGTGGTTGGGAAAATGTTTCGCTCAGGGTTACGTCACACCCCACCAATTCGGCACGCGTCAGCCACGCCCAGCCACAAAGCTTCAGCCATCTTTCAATGTTCAGGATGCTCTTCCCTGTGTAACGACGCGCAACCTATCACCCGTAACATCCGTATCGCGTCGCGCCTGGAGCCACAAAACAACCCGTTACCCGGCATTGCGATCGTCTTCCAAGCAACCAATAACGTGTTCCTGGCTGAATGTCTCCCCCCGCCCCCCTCCCATGTCCATGCCCAAAAGATGCGCGCAAGACGCGCTATGAGGCATCTATGTAGTTCTGTAGAATTGGTAGCGGTAGCATCATCGCGAAGCACGTAGCAAATTCTACAGGCCGCTCTCGTACTTTCAAGTTTGGTTGCAGCAACATCTCTATTACAAAGAGCGCCATGTAGGATTGAACTAAATTAACAATTACGATTACTGATAGAACTTGCTCACGTGATGATAAATGGCCTATAGAGTAGGCCAAAAATAACAGTGTAAACCATGGGATGGGTTTATCGTCGAGCTTTTTGAGGTACTTAACGTATGGCAATTCTGTATTCTTGGTGGTTGGTGACGACTAGAACACAATGTGAGCATCGATGTCTAGTATAAGATTCGAAGATGAGCTTACCGTGAAGATCACATGTTCTTTTTGTGTCTGCTGTCCGATCTGCTTCTCTTGTCGCAAATCGAGAATCTGAACTTGCAGTGCTTTAATTCTGCTTTCAAAGTGTCGTTCATTAAAGTACAATATGCGACAACAATTGGAGAATATCCGATCACAGGTGTCCTCCGTCATGTTGTCACAAAGGCTGATTTGTGAAACGAGTTCGTCTGCACTGGGTCGCTGCTTCGGAAATATTGAGAGCAAGCCCCGAATTGCGAGACAAAGGTGGTGCTTAACGGGATCAAGATCTTCGGGCCATGGTAGCCAATCGTTGAGTTTTTCAAGGCTCTCGTGATACACGAACCTTGTAGTAGGAGACTCGGGCCGTAGGCGTGTTAAGGACCCATCTTGATCAAAGACCATAGCTTCAAGGAGCACGCATCCGAGCGAGAACATATCCGACGCCCGGCCGCTACGCTCTAGGTTTGCCACCTGAAAGAAAATGTAAGATCAGTAAGAGATGATCACCTATATGTAATGCCTCGACTTACTTCTGGTGCTTTGTAACGTGCTGTCCCTGCACCACCATCTGTTCCACTTTCAACGAGGTTCGAAAAGTCACGAGCTAGGCCAAAGTCGCTGAGCCAGAGATTTCCTTGTGACAGAAGGATGTTGGAGGGTTTGATGTCCTTATGGCGGATGCATTGACTGTGTAGGTAGGCGACAGCGGAAATGAGGCATCCAATTTGTGAGTAAATAGGCCACGCTTTGTGCTTTAGGTATAACTTCGATGACGGATATCCGAGCTGCCGAAGCCGCAGTTCTTGATCATCGGTCGCGTCATCTTGCAAGTATGTCTCAGCATCCTCGAAGAAGGTGCCGAGATCGCAAACTGCTACTGGGTATAACAACAGCCCGATGGATCTCTTATGGGTATACGAGCCAATGAGTCGGACCAGATGGCGATGGCTCAACTTCTTCAGGACTTCGACCTCGAGCCTAATACTCTCCTTTGCTCTTTTATGGCGTGACGATCTTTTCAAAGCTACTTTGAGTCCTTGCACGGTCGTTTCGTGAACAATTGCGTCAGCGCCGTGGCCGAGGAGGTCTCCTATGTTCGAGTTCGTTAGCACTAAACACAAGGAGAAGATAATATGAGAAGGATCATGCGTTGACTAAGAGGGACCTCGACTTACCAATCTGTAATGCTAAAGCCTCGTCCACACTGAAATCGACATGGCACCCTCTGCCAGTCCCAGACCAATCGTTCATGACATCGCTGAACAATGAATCCATCGCCACCACCGTGGATACATCAATCCCTGGAAGGGCCAGATGGTTGATGGAGAAGTTGGAGGTAGGTTGAGGAATGTATAAAAAGTGAGCAAGGCTGGGTGTGAGGCTGTGCAAGCTGCAGCAAATGATGCATACGCACACCGCTCAGGAGATGACGCATGCAGTAACGAGCACCTCCTTATTTATCGTATTGCGCGTTCGCTCTGTGCAAGATGGACGACAGTCAGCCTTTTTCGAATTGTTAGAAATGGTGGCTTAGTTTGAGGATGTAATTTTCTATCCATGCAGCACCGAGCACATACAGGTGCATACTGTGCAACAGGGTGTTTGTAAGACGAACTTCTACCGCGATACAATACAGTGTCAACAGCATTCTGCTTGTATTCTATTGCCATCATGTCCATCATATCATACCAGTGCAGCACTCAGCAAAATAAGCAATTTTGAAGTCTGTAATTCTGGAAAACCATAGTATGTCTTTAGTAAATATACACCCTGATAAAGCATGTTGAACGTAAACGCCGAATACCTCACAAATCAGATTTCCCATAGGGAACTTGAGACACGCATCCCACATGTAACGCCGAGAACCCGGGTATCATACACCCAAACACCCCACCATACCACCATGCATCCTTAACAAGCTCGCTCACCATCTACTCGCTATCATCGTCATCATCGAAGCTAGGTTCACTCGCCTCATCCGACTCTGCCTCGTCATCGCTAACCACATACTTCGCCGGCTTAGCAGCAGCCCTACGTCCCGGTCTTGCAGCAGGAGCGCGAGCAGCAGCCTTAGGTTTAGGCGTCGGTTCATCGTCGTCAGAGCCAGACAGAATGTCGTTGGCGATGGCATCCGCATCTTCCATCTCCTCATCGTCGTCGGAGTCGATGGTGATTTGCTTCTTAGCCTTGGGTGCAGGCTTAGCAGCGTCCGCGTCTTTACCGTGCTTCTTTGCATAAGCTTTCGCTGCGGGGCTCTGGGCTGCGGGCTTCTTTGCAACTGCCTTTAGTTTGGGTGCTGGCTTCGCGGCAGCGGCCTTGGGCTTTGCGGTGAGCCTGCTGGCAACTGGTTTCTTTGCTCCAAGATCAAAGTCATCCTCATCAGAGCTCATGATTGTGTCGTGGACGTTGCGAGGAGGAGGGCGCTGTGGCGAAGACTGAGGCATCAGACCTTCGTAGTTGGTAGTATCGCCGTCGATCTCGATGGGGCTGCTGTTCTTCTTTGCTGCGGGTGCGGGACGGGCAGTGGTGGTGGCCTTGAACATTGGTACACCGTTCGTACCGGATCCGATGGTCTTGACCATGCTGCTAACATCGCCGAGAAGGTCATCGTCATCATCGTCGGAGTCGCTGCCCATGGTGTACTTGGGGGCCGCCTTCTTTGCGCTGCGAGCAGTACGAGGCGCAGTCGTCTTCGAGGGCACCTTCGCAGCCTCTTGGGCGACTGCAGCGAAGACATCCGAATCTTCATCGTCTGAGACTGGGTCCTTCTTGATAGGTTTGGCGGCAGCAGGGCGGCCACGTTTGGCCGGTGCTGGCGCTGGCGCAGAATCTACAGAAGCTGACCTACCATCTTCTCCACCGTCAGGTTGCGGTGTCCCCTCCTTCTTCTTGACGAGATGCGCGAGCAACGTGCCTTGCTTTTGCGGCGCAGTTGAGCCAAATGCGCTGCTACTCTTAAGAGCTTCTGCCGCCGTAGGCTTCTTGACTGGTTCTGGCTGTAGATAGCTAAGCAATCCCTCCTTCTTCGGCTTTGCCTTCTTCTTAACCGGGCCAAAGTCGGATCCGGAGTCGTCTGAGTCACTGCCATCTGCCTTTCTCTTCTTCTTTCCCTTGCCCTTACCAGCACCGATACCAAGCTTCTGAGATGGGCGGCGTGTGACGGCAGCGATCTTCTTCTTACGTTTGACCTCTTCCTCCAGCTGAACGTTCCATTCGTCCATGAAGGCGTCGAGATCAACGTTCCAGATGTCCTTGGGTGACATTTTGATGAGGGTGTCAATCTCGTGTTGCTTCTCGCCGATCTGCTTCAGAAGCTTCTCGACGCGTTCCTGAGTAAGAGACCAAATGGCCATCTAGAAGATGTTAGTTTTAGTGTTGTGGAAAGGATTGGTAGCACTTACACCCAGCAGATAGTCGTAGTCATTGGCATTCACCTCCACCTCAGTCTCCTCTGACTCATCATCTTCCTGGACATCCTCGGCCTCGCCAGCAGCCTTGGCATCTTCAACCTTGGGAAAGGGGGCGAAACCAAGCTTCTTGAGCTCTTGGACGAGCACAGCCTTCTTCTTCTTTGAGACAGTAAGCTTTCCATCGATGATCATCTGGATGAATCTGGCCTGGTTCGTCATCTTCAGGTGCTCCTTCTCCATGACCTGGAGCTGGTGCTGCTTTCGCTTCTCATAGTATCGCAGACGGACGTGGTAGAACTCCTCAATGATATCGAGGACGCTTGCATACTTGTGGATGCGTCCATGTGCGTCGAAGGCGACGAGATTGCTCGTGGACTGGGGCTTGAAGAGTTTGAACATTTCTTCCAGACCCTTGGCGAGAGCCTGTGCCATGTATTTGTCTTCCATCTTGATGATGAAGTGAACGCGGTCTGGGGTGTTGTAGTCGATGTAATCCTTAATGTAAGAAGGACCCTTCTCAGCCTTGATGATCTCCTCGAGCTTCTCCTTGAAGTCTTGTGTCCAGTAGCGAACCGGCAGTTCAGTAATCTCAACCTCGTTGTCGCCAGTCTGTCGGACAACTCCAGTGAACTGGTAACGATCGGGACCAAGCACTGTCGTTGTACCAGTGAAGCCCTTGTACCAGGGAACCATAGGAGCCATGTCCTCCTTGGTCGCGCCTGGCGCCATACGGCGTCTGATGTTCTCAATGATGTCCATAGGGTTGAAGTTAGGAATTTCTGAACTCCAACCAGTACCAATACCGCTCGAACCGTTGATGAGAATCGTGGGCAGAATCGGGACAAACATCTCGGGCTCGATCTTGTGACCGTCCGACTCGCCGTACTTCAGCAATTGGTCATCGTGGGCGTGGAAGATTCGTCGTGCGAATGGCGAAAGGCGTGTGTAAATATACCTGGCGCTGGCAGCATCGGCACCACCCTTGAGACGCGAACCGAAGTTACCACTGGGCTCAAGGTAGTTGATGTTGTTGGTACCGACAAAGTTCTGCGCAAGGTTGACAATAGTTCCTTGCATAGAAGCTTCACCGTGAGCATAGTCGGTGGATCCAGAGACGGAACCTGCAAGCTCAACGACCTTGACATCTTTCTTGATGTTTCGCCTGAAACAGGTATACAGAACCTTTCGCTGACCGGGCTTCAGACCATCGACAACGGAGGGAATCGATCGCACGTTATCAGCCATTGAGAAAAGGATGAGTTCCTTGTTTACGAAGTCGTCGTAAGAGATATCCGGGGTTGTAAGGTCAAGATGCTGGCCGGGCACAAAGTCTCGCAGCCAATCTTTACGAGCGTCAGCCTTCTTCTTCGAGAAAGCGAGCTCGATGAGCTTCTCCTCCTCGTCACGCATGACCTGGAAACGCTTCATGTGTGTGTCGAGGTCCTTGAAATAAATTTGAGCATCAGGAATGTCGCTGGTACCCAATCCCTTGTAGTACTTGTGGTCCCATCCTTTCTCGTGCTGGTGCTGCTCTTTCCACTCCTCGTATTCGGGCATGGAGAAGAAGCTTCGCATGTTGCGTGGGTTCTTGGGGTCGCCCTTCCAAACTTTGACGATAGGAGTAATGAACTCCAAGAGAAAGCCAGGAATCTTGAGCAAGCTGGGAAACTGACACTGGAGGAAGTTGATGAGTAGACCCTTGATATGGCTACCGTCGTGATCTTGATCAGTCATGATCATGAGATGGCCGTAACGCAAGCTCTTCATGTCCGCTACGGTGTACTCCTTCTTATGTTGAAGTCCCATAAACTTCTTGATGTTCTGGATCTCAGCATTCTTCATGATTTGATCGACAGTAGCATCTCGAACATTGAGGAGTTTACCACGAAGCGGGAACACACCAAACAGATCCTGGTTGACAACAGCACGACCAGCCAAAGCAAGTACACTGGCTGATTCACCCTCAGTGAGGATAAGTGTGCAGAGATGTCCGTCCTTTGTTCCTGCCTTGTTGGCATCTGTGAGCTTAGCGTTACTGATACGGTTGCGCTTGTTGCCGTCGGTTTTCTTCATCATCTGGTCGGCCTTTTGCTGAGCAAAGTGCATAATGTTCTGGATGACGTCGGTCTTTGCGATGGCATTGAGGAACTTGTCACTGAGGACTGGCTTGCTACCGAACTGGCTAGCCTTTGTCGTGAGCTGCTCCTTGGTCTGAGATGTGAAGGCCGGGTTGACAATGGAACAGTTGACGAACAGGAACAGATGGTTCTTAATCTGCGCTGGCTTTAGCTTGACAGCAGCCTTGTTCTTCTTGTTGACAATCGCCATGAGCTTCTCGATGATCTGGTCGGCGATGTGGTTGACGTGGGTACCACCAGATGTTGTCGCAATCGAGTTTACGAAGGAGACTTGGTTGAATGAACCATCTGACACTGCGAAACCAATGTCCCAGCGGTCCAGCTTGTCTGTGATGATGACATCCTTCTCCTTGTCGTCTTCGCTCTTGCCCTGGTCGCGCGAAATGGACTTGGTATACATCTCCATGTACTTCGCAAACGATGTGATCTTGATACGTTCGCCGTTCAAGTAAACCTTGATGCCTCGAAGCGTACCAGCCATATCGTAGGTCCTGCGCTTGACCATGGCCTCGAAATCGTCATCGATACCGGTCATGCCAAAGCGAGCGTAGTCGGCCTTCCAGCTGACCTTGGTGTAGTCGTCCGCCTTGATATCGGTGATCTTGGCCTTGCCCATCTTGCTCATGTTGTCGGTCCAAGTTTGCTTGTACTTCTTCTTCTGCTTCGAATCGACCGTCTCGACCGTAAATTCGGTACTGAAAACGTTACAAAGCTTTGCTCCGTAACCGTTACGACCACCGGTGACCTTCTGCTGGTTGTCGTCGTAGTTGGAGGATGTGAGAAGGTGACCAAAGATCATCTCTGGTACATATATGCCGTGTTCCTATTCGAATTAGCAGCGATCTGAAGTAGATTTCGAGAGCGACTAACTTTGTGAATCTCAATTGGAATTCCCTTGCCGTCGTTCTTGATGGAGATCTCGCCAGACTCCCGGTCAACGCTGACCCTGATCTCGCTCATGTTCTTGTCGTTCTGCTTGTTGTCTGCCGCGTTTACGAGAATCTCGTCGAAGATCTTGTATAGACCGGGAACGTAGGTTACGTCGCGGAACTCCATCGACTCGCTCTCAGAGTTGTATACCCACATCTTGTCTGTTTGTCGCTCAACGGAACCGATATATGTGTCAGGGCGCTTCATGATGTGCTCCAAATGCGTCAACTGTCTACGTGTTAGTTGTTGCCTTACAGCGCATGCCTCAGTCACTCACCATCTGGTACTTGCTGCTGGCGCCGCCTTTCTTGGGCGCTGAAATGGGCACATCCTCGCCATCTCCGCCGAAGCTCTCATTCGCGATGTCTGCAAGAGGCTTGCCACTGGACTTCTTCGCGGCTGGTGCCTTCTTGGCCTTTGGTGGTGTGTCCTTGAGAAGCTCCTCATCGTCATCGAGTGGGTCCTCGTCCATGTCTACATCTGAGTTCTCATCCATGTCTGAGTCGGCTTTGGCCTTCTTCTTTGGCGCAGCTTTCGGCTTCGCGGCGGCCTTTGGTTTGGCTGTCGCGCCTGCGGGTCGGCCTCGGGGCTTTGCAGGTCCAGCTGCTTTCTTCGTCGCTGCGGCTTTCGGTTTCGCAGCAGCCTTGGTGGCCTTCGCTGGCTTTGCGGGTGGGGCGAAATCGGAGCTGGCGCCTTCGTCGAAGACCGAGTCTTCCATTAGGGAGTCGTCCATAGCGGGCTGTTGTCGTGTCCCGAAGGACGAAAAGAAAAAGTTAAAGACGATAAACGCTCTCTATCGCGAAGTTTAGGCGATGTAAGCGATAAGAAGCAGCGAGTGTAGACGAAGGGAAGGCGTAGTGGTGAGAAAGCAAAATGTGGAGGCGTGTTTTGTTAGATGAGGGTCTGTGTTTACGCGTTGGCGTTGCCAAAGCGAGACGCTGCAGGGGAAGGCGCGCTAACAACGCTAATGCGGGGCTTCACTTAGCCTCATTGGGTGATGAGCGATGATACGGAGAACTTCAAACGTCGTCAAATCGCGAAGAGTGGTGACTATAGAAGGTGAAGATGATGGGACTATGCATGGAGTTGAAAAGGAAAGAGCCCTATAGAGAAAGCTTTGTCGTGGTATTCGGCCATGGTTCAAGGTAAGACAAGTACGGCGACTGGTAAAACACCAGCTGCAGCCTGAGCTAGAGACATCACCTCCAAAATGATTGCTACTCTACTGAATGCAAGCAGATGCTCGTGTTTAGGGGTTGTATAGGATGAGGTGGTAGCACCTTGGTGTACAAGCTGATTTGCATCGAGACGAGTCCCCTTATCTCCATACCACGTTCTCACTTGATCTTTGAGGGCGTTTTCTATCACCTGGACCCTTACGGTGCTGAGCATACAAGAGCTGACACAAGACCACCCCGAACGTTGCCAAAGAGAAAGCAGACAACTCTTTGGGGGTGGAAGCGAGGCCAGGTGGGGTCTGACGTGAGTCCTTACACCGTGTGCGCGTTTCCCTGGTCCACGCCACGCAAAATCCCATATTTCACTGAATGCTTCCCAAAATGGAAAGCGCTATATCATGAGGACCAACCGCAAACACAATGCTTAACTAACTGATATATCAAAATCTCCAAACCGTCGTAATACATTCTCCACTGTACGGACACAACCTTTTAACTCAACACCAGCTATCCAGAATGTCGTCCCCGCCTCTTCCGACGCCTTCAGATTCAGAACCACCTGCCGCTCCTCAATGGGCAAGGACGATACTTCAAAATCCTTCTCGTGGACGATCAGAAAGTTCACCTTCACTTAGCCTTCAACCTCAATCAACTTTGATACCTCGATTAGAAATGCTACCAGAAAGTCGTTCTTCGAGTCCTTCCTCAGAAGCAGCGATACTACACCAAGATGATATTCTCTCACCTTCGATGGACCCACGTCAAGATGAGGCTAATACACAAGGCACAACGCTACGTAGTCGTCTTGCACGTCTCTCGAGAAGTGAGCTAAATTTTGTATTGCGCGAGCTACTATCACGCCCGGCTACTAGGCCAACCGCACCCCCGCCTTCGGACAATACGCTACTCTCGACCCCTCCCGATTTCAACGTCTTCCTAGACAATAACCTACTCCCTCTAATGCCCACACACCCCCTCTACCCACCGCTAGGAACAACATGCGGAATCTGCCAAGACCCCTTCCACGAGGCACATGCTCCCGTACTGATCGTCAAGGCACAAGGATGTTCCGGGCATGTATTCGGCTACCAGTGTCTGCGCAAGTCTATCTCAGCAGACACAGCAAATAGCAACAAATGCCCACTGTGTCGGACAACGTGGTTTGAAATATCGAGGCAACATCTGACAAGATTGGCGATCGTATGGGGAAGGATAGGCCAGGTGGAAAACAGGGTCATTAGTGACATCGAAGACGCTGAGAATGACGCTGAGAGGGCTAGGTCAGCTATCGAAATCAACATGAGAGACTCCGTGCCTATTCTAGAGCACGAAATGTTGATTGCTAGAGGTCTAGAGCACGAACTGTTGCTTGCTAGGGACTGGGAGATCGGGATGGCACTTGCACTTGCGAGGGCCCAGGTGGCCGACCTTTCGGTGGTTGGAGACATGGCTCATCGGATGGAAATGTTGCTTGCTGGAGAAAGAGAGAGAGACAGCGAGATGGCAGCGGCGATTACTAGGATTCACGCGACTCTTAGGCCTAGTCCTCGAGGGACATTGCTTATGGCATGGCTTGTCTTTCTGCATGTACTGTTATTCGCCATTATAGCAAAAGGGACATGGGGCTAGAAAGACGAGATAGCCCTGTGGACCTGCAGAAGTATAAGAGGCTGACGAACAACATTGTTTTGCAAGCGACGAGGGAGAAGTCTGAGCTTTAGAGCGAACCACGTAATTAATGCGATGAGATAAGTTCGCAACTATGTAACATATGCACGCTCAGAATTTCATGTAATCAGTAATGTGTAATCAGTAACAGAATTTCATGGAGAAAACTCCATTACTGATTACTCATTACTGATTACATGAAATTCTGAACGTGCATATAACATACAAATATCCGTCCACCCCCCAGAACGCCATGCCAAAATAACAAACTATGCAACAAGTAAGCCCATGCCCGCCGTACTATAAAAGGACTTTTTCCGCGACCCCTCCTCCTCATCTGTCTAGTCTCAAGTCTCAGACCACCTAGCAAGAGTAACACTAGTAGTGTACACCATGGCAACAACTCCGACAACCATCATAGTGACATCGCCGAACTTCTCCCAAGGACGGTTGGCCACGCCCTTGTAGTGCAAGAAAGCAGGGTAAATGTACACCAGAGGCACACAAGCAAAGCTTCCAATGAGCGCAACAAACTTGTCCAAGTCGCTAGCTCCAAGGATAGCAATGAGACCGCAGAGAATGACAAGACTAGTCCTGAAAGCATTCTTCTTCCACTTGGTCATGTTACTCTGCTTGCCGGATGCGCGGCCAAAGATCTTAAGCTCGATGTTACGCATAGCGGGGAAGAGCTGCACTGGTGTGCCGACTAGGACGGCCATAGAGTAGAGGAACTGGACAGCATTGACGAGCTTGCTAGACTGGGGGAAATTGGTAATGACCTCGACTGACACGTTCTCGCCAAAGGTTCCGTAGCAAAGCACGCCGACGGACGTGAAGATGACGGTGATGATGAGCATGACAAGGTAGAGGAGCTTGCTGAAGTGCTCGGGCTCCTTCATGCTGGACTGAATGGGAAGGATGAGCCCAATGCCCTCGAAGGTGAAGATGGCGGAACCGATGGTCATGGTGAAGTCACGAGGGTTGAAAAGCTCAATAGACGGGTGGAAGCCTCCCATCTTGGCGATCCACGAGATGTCGTACCAGTAGATGTACGTCAGACCGATGAGGATGAAGACATCGGCGAGAAGAGCGGCAGGTCCGAGCTTGGAGATGTTTCGGATGAAGGACATGGGTATCAGAACAGCAATCTGGATACCAATGAGCGCATTGGTAGAAAGCGGTTCTTTTGCATGAGCAACAGCGTCAAGGAACGATCGGAGATTGTCTGCCGTGAAGATAAGACCAGCGCATACAAAGCCGATTTGGGACAGCGTGATAGAAATCAGGATGAGGGCACGAAATCTCGGTCCCACGACAATGGAACCTAGATCACCGTAACCACCGCCACCATATCTCTTCCTCGTCGCCAACAGTAACTCGAAACACAGTGCGGTGATGGCAGATACCAAGATCATAGTAACGGACGAAAACAGCATTCCGCCGTTCTTGAAGGCTTTGGGCAGAAACATGATTCCGGTACCAATGAAGGCCTTCAGGAGAGTGAAGAAGGTCTTCACTTGGTCTGCGTCGCCCTGTTGCCTCAGTCTTTTCGAACTCTGTCGTCGTCCGAGAAGTGGTCTGCGCTCGCCTTGCGCCTCTTCCTCTTCATCATCAATGGCAGACTCTTCGTCTGTATCTTCGTCAAGATCTTCACCAGCAAACTGGCCGTACAGCTCAAGGAATGAGATGAAGTTTCGCGTCACAGGCTCCGAGATGTAGCTGACACGCTTGCTTTGCCGCTGCAAGTATTGTCGTCTCAGTCCGCCGGGTGCAAGCTGGTCGCGAACGGGGAGTTCGTCATGGTCAACATCTGAAATAGACGGCGCACTGTTGCGGCCAAAATGTACTGCGTCGGAAAAGGTTGCTGCTCGTTGGTGCAACTTTTGCCGCCGGTTCTGTGCAGCGATTTTGTACAGATCACGATGGATATCGCCGCCCTGCAGCCGCAACGACGACTCTGGCATTTGACGGTCGCCTGAGTTGGAAGCGCTGTCTGCGCCATCTTCCTGAGCCGGTGTTGCTGGGTCAAACTCTGAGAAGTCGTAGCTTGGGTCTAAATGCTGTTCGAGGACCCTGGCCTCCTTGGGATCGGCACCTGCAGTTGTCTGCGGCGTGTCGGTCATGGTTGCGATAGCTCGACGGATGTACAGATCCCCCAGTACTATGTAGATGAGAAAATATCGACGGAGCTACGAAACTTGGGCGTCTGGTAGCCTGGGTCTGGCGGTGAGGTCCGAATGATGGAACTAACGGCCAATCAGGATTTGCGAAGCTTAAATGGTCCGTGTGCCTGACATCACCGTGTTGTGATGTTTGCCGCTTGCAGTACGTTGTGACAGAGTAAGGGTATGAGAATGTGCAAGAGCAAACAGATGACAGTCACCACAGGAGAGGAGAGCTACTTGAAGCAAAACAAAGGACGAGAATCTTCGAAGACGAGACCGCGACGGACCTGGGAAAACATGACGATCGCGCTGGCGCCTTGGCACCGAAGCACCTGGGCACGTGTTGTGGAGAGCGTCTATCCCTGCGTCAGCCACGGAGTCATTGGCGCAACAACCGACCGCTGCCGCATCCTAGGAATTGGACCCCAAGATAGCCGTTTAATCAATACACATTGCCGGCAAAGCAGAGAAGCCCTTTGATCCGCAATTGACACGTTTCGTCCTTGTCGACGATAGCATAAAGGCAGGAGAGCATACTGTACGTGATGGCTGCCCAACAAACCCCTCAGATCGTCTCACCATGGCCCCTCCAGGATTCGGACCGCCAGGGTACTCTGTCCCGCAGCGCTACATGCATCGCGAACCGCCCCCAGAAGGGTCTGACACCAACACTCGACCCTACGCTATTTTCTTTTCCTATCTGTTAACATGTCTTTCTGTCGCTGTACTCATCATTTTGAGACTCTTCAAAAGAGCCAATGTGCTGCAAAAGTCAACAACCGCGCAGCTCCCGTCTAGATCACATGTCTGGCTGTTCAGTGGTCTTGCTTTGGGTAGCCTGCTCACGACATGGACGTACATGTTTCAGTACTTCAAGGTCAGCTATCAATCATGGTTGATGTGGCGGAGCTACTACGAACTTGAGCCACATCATAAACACTGGGGGTTGTGGTTGAAGGAGACCTCTTTATTTCGGGAGGCATGGGAGACTGTCATTGTAGGCAATGCGAGATACTGGTGGTCACATCAGATATTTTTCTTTGCATTGGGTCTGGGATTGTATTTGGAGCAGAAAGGTAAAACGGACTTGATATATTCACGGATAGCAATAACTAATGAACATAGGTATTCGACGTGGGATCAGATATACCTGGGCATTCATGCTGCTTGGCCAGATAGTAGCCATCAGCTTTGCCACAAACCTCTTCTTACTCACCTTGCTTCTAAGCCCACCTACACCTGCTCCGTCGTCGTCATCCGGAGTACGTCGGCCAACATGGCTAGGTCCTTGGCTACTGAACCTCTTTGCCATATTTGCAACAGCGTATCCGGCGATGCAACTGGCCGATGAACATTACTGGCACCATCCCACGCACTTTATGCCGGTGCTTATGGCTCCGCACGTCGCCCTGATGATCTTGCCCATTATCCGCGCTATTGTGCCAGCTGGGTACTTCAACGACGATCCTCAATCTACCGACAAGATCTACAATTTTATGTGGGCATTGGTTCTGGGAAACGCCGGACTAATGCTTGCATGGACAACTGCAAGAGCATACGCCTACGCCGGCTTCGTGGGAATCCAGAGTGCTCTGCTGGAACACCCAGCTGTAAGCAGTGTAGGGTTCGACGTAATCTTCTGCTGGATCACTTGGACCTGCTGGTATCTGACACAACCGAAATCTGGTGATCAACGCGTAGGGCGAATGAACGGGGTGAAGAACGCGCGTGCTGACGATGGACCGGACACTGCTCTAGGTGCCAGTGGGTATGACGGAGGAGTAAGACGTCGCTAGTGTGGTCGTCGGCCGAGGAATTGGATACACGATGGAGCTATACGTTGTGGGCAAGCGGAGAGGAGTTCGTGTGCTGCGGGTACAAATGGGATGTTAGGAAGGCTTTTACGCCACCATCGCATATGTCGTCTGTAGGCCAGTCAGCACGCCATAGTTGGACAAGATCATTTAGGGTAGACATGTGGGAGTGCCTTTAGAGGCGCCCGCTCTCATGTAAGAGAACATAGAGCTGTAATGGTAGCATACAGATGCCGTATTAGCTGAATTTACCAATGTCCTGTACGCTTCGCATGGGTTGTGTTATTGTGGTTGCGCCCATCGTGTTTACATGCGGAAGGTACTGGCGGATGTGCCGGAAGCAAAATCGACCATCACGAAGGAAGTGATCTGGTTGTAGTCGCGGGTCTCGTAGTTGGTGTAAGGCTGTGAACCTGAAGCCATGGACGATGTCGGCGACTTTGGCAATCGATAAGATTTAGCGCTAACAGAAAGTCCGGTGGCTTAAGGCCAGCCAACCTCCCTGCGTCATCGAAAGCACCTTTCCACTTTTCTACGTTTTCGTATGGTACAGGGATACACAAGCAACCTCAATATTTTGTGCATCAGCACATCACGAGCACCTTCATATGGCATCTCGTACCCCGCTTAATCAGCCTCCCAAATCAGTGCTTACAATACACTTTCATATTGCGGACACCCAGAACCGTAGCCTTTCGCCGCATCTTGCTTTTTTCTACCTGCATGTATGGTACTGAGCTATCGATTTGCTCCTCGTATCAACAGCTGATCCTTGCGCTACATGCACCCTGACGCCCTGTGCGGCTGTGGCAGTTATGGCACTTATGCAAAGCTTATCCGACAGGCTGGGGGAAACTTCGTTCGCTAAATCGCGGGGTTGATCTATGAGTGCCTCATTTAAGGTGAACGGTCCCTCATCGGGCATGCCGTGCGGCCCTGAATACGGGTCTTAGCAGCCGACTGGCAAAAGATCACCATGGGTGTGGCAAAGCTCGCAACGCTACCGGCTAGCGGAACGTCATGGGCTGGCTGGGTGCCGCTATCGTGGTACACATGACCGTTGTGCAGGTGGAACCTTTGGGGGAGCTGCGACGAGGCTGCGCGATTGCGGCGACTACGAAGGATGATCGTGAGTATAAAGCTCGCCTGTGCCGTTGTTGAAGAAATGCACTCACAACACCATCCATCCATTCAACCCATCTCTAATCAACCTCACAAAACCTATCCCTGCGTCAATCGCCTACCAACCTAAGAAACATCAATCAGCATGAAGACCTCATCGATCGCTCTGACCCTTGCGGCAGCTGCAATGGCCAGCGCACAAGAAGAGCCGTACTACAACATCACAACTGCACCTTTCTACCTGGTCGTCACATCAGAGGATGGTGGTGTCAATGACACAATCAGTGCCTGCCACGTCGGTGCAGCGATAGAATCGCTCTGCTTGAGCAATGCTGGAGCGGGAGACGCGCCAGAACCTCTCGCTGGCGCAGAATTCCAGTTCAACACATCAATCTACTCTCAGGCACCAGAGCCATCTTTCGGCGTACCTGGCATCCTGACCTGGTGGCTGAACACAAGCACTCTCGACATTCCATCATCAGCGGCCTTTGGTCTTGACCCGATTTCCAATCTCGCAACCTTCACCCTCAGCCCCGGCAGCGATGACGCAACGCAGCTTGCTTTCAACTCTCAGGACGAGTTGACCCTTCAGGCGTATGTTCCAGGCGAGAACTACACAGGCAGCTATCAGGAGTTCTACCGCTGGTATGCGTGCGACACATCCTACTCCAGCTACCAGTACAACAACCTCGTGTGGGGATTGGGTGCAGGCAAGCCGGACAACCCGACGTGTGTCTCAGTCAACGTGACAAGGGTATTTGTTTGATTTGCGAAGAGGGTAACGGGATGGTCATTGGAGGATAAGACCAATGGAAAACTTACGACTTAATGTGCTACGCAGATAATGCTAATCAATAATGAACACTCATTTACATGTATGTCCGTCCCATGTGTGCGTCCAGTCAGGTACCAACCATCGTGATGTAACCAAATGTGCCTCTCCAGGAATTGTACAAACTCAGCTACTTTCTTCTCACTCCAAACTACATTCCAGCACTATTGAGACACTTATTCCTCTTCCCATTCTACTCATTCTTGTTCCTTTCTGCCATGCCAATCGCGGCTACACGGACAAACTCATCTGCTCCATCACTTCCGACCACTTCAACCTCACCCTTACTTCCGACGGCGCCTCCCTGACTGGCAATACATTTTCCGCATACCCCGTCCAAATTGTGACCTTCAACAAGGACAACTTCATGAACGCGCAGGACCCCATTGACTGGGAAGCAGAGAAGCCGGACAGGGGTGAGTACACAGGGTATTCATGCTGATTGGTCTATTACACGTTCCAGGGGATAGGGTATGCGAGGCGGTGTCGGTGACAGGTGTGGGGAAACCTGGTAAGTTTTTGCAGGACTTTTGCTTTTGCTCAGGGACAGTCTGGAACGGTGAGATGTACATTGATTGATTTCGTAATACAGATACACCGTGTTGTGTCAAGATTCAGGTCAAGAGCGTAATTCTTGGAATATAAGGACACGAAAGTACAAGTACGATTACGTCCTTCAAGAGACGATGAGAGATGAAGGTTTGTCGTCAACATCATTGTGGGAGAGTTGTTCGTGTCGCGAGTGCAACTGTGGGATTGAGCAAACAAAACATGAAATGCACCAATATCCATGTTAACACAGGCACTCATTGCAGAATGCACCAGATAATTGCTTCCTACTTCTGCATACTCTGAGCAATTATGCTTCCAAAACGACCTGCGCTGCGCTGTTGAGGCCTGGACGGGTCCTTGCTTGTAGATCCCTTTGCGCTAAGAAAGCAGCATGAAGGGACGCGGGGACGGCTAGAACATCGAGGTAAGCAATGCACATAGTCGGTGCGTTGCATGGCTCAATATGCATGGCTCAATATGCATGTACTCAAGCATGGGATTTGGTTGCTCTCAAGGCTTAAATCGAGTCCTCGAAGCTTAAGCAACTAGCGTGACGCGTGAGGCTGACTTGGGGTGAGCGTCCTTCTCCACCGCGTATCTAATCACTCAGCCTCCTCTTTCACCACCATTGAGATAGTCGAGACCCTTCTCACGACACGGCCCTCGGCAATGTCAATTGCATCGACCCAAGGTCGTCGGGCGCTAATGACGCGTCGATATACCTCACAATGCCGCTCTTGACAGCTATCCGCGCTTCAAACCACCGCAAGCTCGCAGGCCGCGAATACCAGCCCCACTGCAGTCGTACAAACGATGATGCGGCTGCCGTCAGATCGATAGTTTCCGATCAATTCAAAGGCGTTGCCCAGGACGGATAGGTTTGTCGAGACGGTTGCCTCTAGCTTCCCCGCGCAGATCCGGAGACAACGTGTAGGGCGGTTGGGGAAAGCATGCCGTCATCGTGCTTTCCATCGAGTGTGAGCTAAGACGAGCCACCAACGCAATGGCAATATGGCAGACTGTCTTGGGCATTTTTCTTCAATTATCGCAGCACGCAGCATTGCTTGTTTGTGGACACTGCGTAACAATTGCTGACCAGCACTTCCGTCATTCTTTCGCATCGCATCGTCCTCATGTTTCCTTCTACCTTACTTCTCTTCCCTTTGGTCTTACTCACGAAACCTACAACTGCTCAGTCTTCCTCTCTATCCTCATCAAACACACCCATACCTAGCAGCGATGTTACAGTGATCACCGGCGTTGCCAGCACTTCCACTGGCACCTACTCTGCCAGCTTCTCGAGCGGCCTGCCAGGCATAGTTCTGACCTCGACTGCTTCCGGGCGGCAAAATGCTACCGCCACATCTTCGACGACAACCGAAGATGTCACGGCTATAGTCGGTCTGCCCCCTTCGACCAATTCCGCAAACGGTACCGTTTCAGCGACAACTTCAGCTCGTCCTCGGCCAAGTAATACTCGACCATGCAACGGACACGTCGAATTCTGCGAACGGAGGTTCTCCAACGTTTCTATGGTCGTCGCGCACAATAGCCCATTCGTGAAACCACACAATGCAGCCAGCAACCAAGTCTATCCAGTGCTTAACCAGCTCAGCGACGGAATCAGAGGGCGTAAGCTACTGATACATGGTAGAGAAGGCATTGGCTGACATTCCATGATAGTGCAGTTCGAGACCCACAAACCCAACGCCTCCTCTGGGATACGTCTCTGCCATACCTCTTGCAACCTGCTCGACGTGGGCACCCTCGAATCATACCTCGCAACGGTCAGAGGCTGGCTCGCTGAACACCCATACGAAGTCATCGCTATCATGATGGGCAACAACAACGGAGATGACACCAAGATACCGGCGACGGACTACGTTGCGCCATTCCAAAATTCAGGAATGATGGAATACCTATGGACCCCACCCTCAGCTACTATGAACCTGACCGATTGGCCTACACTAGCTGAGATGATTATCAAAAACAAGCGCGTGGTAGTGATGCTAGATTACAATGCAGACCAAAGCCAAGTTCCGTGGCTCCTCAACGAATGGAACTACCAATGGCAAACGCCCTTCTCTCCTACAAATCCCGCCTTCCCATGCACCGAGCAGCGACCTCCCAATCAAGCCGAAGATGTCTCACGCAACCGCATGTACTTGATGAACCACAACCTCAACATCGAAGTCAGTCTCCCTGGCGTCAGCAGCATTCTCATACCGGCGTACTCGCTCCTCGATCAAGTCAACGCTGTCTCTGGCAATGGTAGTGTTGGGCTCAATGTGCAGAATTGCGAGAAGATGTGGGACAGGCCGCCGAACTGGATACTCGTTGATTATTACAATTTTGGCAATTTTAATGGGAGTGTCTTTCAAGTTGCAGCCACGGCGAACAACGTCACATACAACGACCAGTCGTGTTGTGGTACTGAAGATACTAGTGCCGCACATGCCCTTAGAAGTCAAGGATTCTTTGCGGCTTCGGTGCTTGTTGGGGCGTTTTTGTTGTGGTGAGCTTGGAAGAGTAAAGACTATCGACTTTGACATCTGACCGCTTTCTCCGATTTGCGAAGATGCGAAAAGCGAGGCGCTTCGGGAGTTTGGGTGGTATGTTTTTGCTAAGATGTCTGACTAAGACACCACTTTGTCAATCGAATAATTACCTTCTCTAGCCTGAACGACCTGCCCAGTGTGTTTGCCTGCTTGATTTCCAACTGACCCACGCTGATGTGCCCGTATTTTGTCTCGTTCTCGTCGGGTACCTCCGTTAATATTGCGGCGCTCCTGGAGAGTGAATTAACCATTTCCGAGCTGTACATCACGGACCACGATGTGTTGCCTTGCCATGACTCCACCCTTGCTCCTATCGAGTACATATACCACAACACCTATAGTTCCTCATTCTATTATGAACTTTGTCTCAACCAACGCACTGATTCCACCAGCGGTTACCTAAAACTCTATACTCGCTCAAGGACGCCATCGTTAAGGCCACCCAACATGCCCTACCTTAGGACTCGCATCCGTAAGCTCCATCGCGAAGCAGAAAAAGACAAGGGAGAAGGCGAATCGATCAACCGATACAACACGGTACGGCTATCACCACCTCCTGACGACAAACTCATAACGCTCGATTGGGTGCCACATAACTACAAGTACAAGTTTAGACCGCTGCCGCGCCAGGACGATCCAGTCATCAGAGAAATCCTGGGCCTCATCCGCAGCTTAAATGGTCAGAACATCGAGGTTGCAAATATGCGCTTCCGAGTATCGCCGACCGACGAGTCCTTGCCGTTTTGGTTGGCTTTGCCTGATTATACCACCTACTGCAGCAAGCTGTATACCTTCATAGATGACTATCACGAATTTCCACTTACTGGCCGGGTGACCTTCTCTCCTGGACTACCTGGCCCAACCGCAGACAATCTCTGCCTAAAGATAGGTATAAAACGGTTTTTGCTGAAAGACTGGTTGCTGTCTAGCTACAAGTCTGTCAAAAGGTTATCTGATGGAAGTGGCCTAGTTGGCGAGAAAGGGTACAGGACGCAGCGCAAGTGGTGGAAGCTCAATGGGAAGCATTTCCGTCTTTTCGACCTTCCTGCCGAGGTTCGCATGACGGTCTTCGAATTCGCCCTCGGTCCTCGGATTTACCCCTTGGTTGAACTCAACAGTTATTCAGTTCGTCTCGGCATCGGCTTCCCTAACTGGCTCGACAGCAGCCTTATGCAGCGACGCACTTTTCTTCAATTGTCCATGGGTGACTTCCAGAGAGTAACAGGCTGCTCCGCTCACGAGCCTAATATCGCACTGCTGTCTGTCAGCAGGCAAACTCACAGCGAGGCACTCCAGGCTGGCTGGGAGAACACTCGAAAGTGCTTCTTCTCACTAATACATTTCGATTCTATCCCCGATGCGCGCACTAAACCGAAGTACAACTGGCTCAATCACATTATTCTTGACTTTAACATGAGCGATTGGTTCGACTTGCTTAATCTCGAAGATATGCTTGGTCGAGAACCGAGGACCCACTTACACAAGAGCAGCTCCAAGTCTTCCATTACGCTTCTCTCAACACTAGACAAACTATCAACACTACAGCTTTGGTTCAGGAGCCCGGATGATGGCGCCTCCTGGTATCCTCATGGTATAAAAACAATCGTACACAAAGTTAACAACATGCGGGATGACAACGATAACAAGATCATTTGCTGCCAACGTACCATGGTAGACTTGATCATGACCTTCGCCTGGCCTTTTTTCAAGGACCTACGCGCAAAAGTAACTGTAGGCGGGATTCTAAAGGAAGACAGAAAGAAGAAATGGAATGAACGCCTTGCTTTGTCTGCAGAAGACAAGCTTCACGTCATCGATCAGGAGGCCGCGGAGCAGGCTATCTTCGACACACCTCTCGCTAACATGTAAGTTTTTTTTCATCTTCCAAACAGATTTGATCAAAGAATTTGACTGAGAACATGTATAGCGCTTCTTCTTGCTCCTGTCGCACCCCATGCGTGGTTAAACGCTGCAGCAGGGTTGTATCAACGGATGTTTTCGACTGCGAGGACGATAGAGACAGAGGTAACGCAAGCATTAGCGAGGACGTGGAGAGAGTGGAGAGCCAAGAAGAAATTGATGAAAATATAGTTTAAAGGTCTCGTAGATTGTAGATTGGGGGATAATCGTATGTGCGATGCGATGTTCAAATCAACCTTGGTTCGGCTCCCGAGGAAGACGTACGTTTTAGACAACGAGCGAAGCAGGGAGGGTTAGGCTGCTAGAACTATAAGCTAGGAGGGCTTTGAAATAGTCGCGTCACTAGGATGTAGGAGGATAAGACGAACGATGATGAACTCGCAGCAGCTACTGTTAATTTGATGGACGTGCTGGTGATAAGACGCAGGCACAACGCGGTCGAGTTACACTGTGACAGTCTTCAAAGTATTCTTATTTTTTGGAAGTATCAAAGTAGACTATGAAGTATACACATAACGCTCTTAGTCAATCACCAGAGCTCACAAAGCTCATGTATACTCCTTGCAGATACCTGTATCATAGCTCTGAGCATCATTCACACCTAGTACTCTCCTCACTTCTTCGCATCAGCCTTCTCCTGTGCCCTCTTCTCCAACCTCTCCACTTCCTCGTCAATGCGCTTGAAGCTCCAACTCTGATAAAACGGCGGATAAAGGAAAGGCCTGAGATCGAACCGATTGTCGTCCGGTGAGTACGCCTCTGCATGGTAACTCGGCGTCATAGTCGTCATCTTGTGCCGGTTTATCGCATAGTAGTGGAAGAAGCGCTTAACCTTGACCGCAACCTCCCGAGGCGTATAGCCATCAGACCATTCATGCGCAAGGCGGACAAAAGTACCATACGGACCCAGTTTCAACTCTTTGCGACACTTTCCAAAGACACCGAGCTCGGCGTATGTCATGCCCATGTCGACTTCGTCGCTTTGGGCGTAACCTTCGGTGAGGGGTTCGAGTTCGGCGGTTGGTGTTGCGTCGATGAACTCGCCAAGGATGGGCAGGGAGAATTCTTTTTGAGCGTAGCTTATGAAGCGCTTTAGATCGGTTTTGGAAATGCTTCCAATGGGATTTAGATCGGCGCTACTGCAATCGTACTTGGTGAGGTATCCACGTAGACACTCGTCGACGTTGCCTGAGGCAAGGACTAGTAAACTACCTCCGCCTGGGCGCTTCCGAGTCATAGGGAGCATTTGGGCGAAGTAGTAAGAAGATACAAGTCTAGTCCTGGCTTGGATGTTCTGTAGCGCGAGATTCTCCGCTGGCTGACCGCCGTGAGCCCTGAAACGCGGTGTGAAGCCCGTAGCCTTTGTCAAAAGATTCTTCTGGCTGTTGTAGATGTCGTCGATATCCGCTTCAACATGGTGGCATCCAATGTCTTCTGCCAACCTCTTAGCACGGCTCCTTGTTTCCACACTTGACTGCTGCGACATTCCCATGTATACCGTGTGGAGGATGCCGTTACATATTTGCTGCGGGCTCTCAGGTATCCAGTTATCTTTGTCGTGGTAAGGGCCTACAATGCGACGGACATCCGCGAGAACTTGCTCGTTACCATCTTTCACAGCCTCGTAAACCAGTCGACACATGGAGTATACAAGAGTACCTGTAGCGCAGCTGTCGATGCCTCCGCTTAAGGGCAACATGAAGCCAGCTTGACCGGATCGACGAAGATAGTCCCACAGCCAGCATGCAGGTCCCAAAGCGATTTCCTCTTCGGGGGTGTGATAGCGTAGTGTCTGAGCTGGGGTGGGCCGAATGTCTGGGTCAAAGTCTGCATCCGAAGACGATATGCGTAGATTTGCCCTGAAGCGCTCATATCGTGGACCTGACACGGCTTGTAAGCCTCTTGAGGGGCTTGTGCGGTATGACCAAATCTCTTCTAGGTCGATTGTCGCAGTAATCACCTCAACATCCTGCAACGAGAACTGGGTACCCTGTGCGCGGACGGTACCGTTGACGAGTACCATTGCGCTGCCGTCATAGAATAGTCGATCACCATCACATCCTTGCTGGTTAGCGTAAAGGTAGGCACCTCCGCACTTGGCAGTGGCTGACCGAATCAGGTCGAGGCGAGTATCGAGTTTTCGCAGTTCATGATGAGAACCCGAGGAGTTGATGATGATGTCCACGCCGGCTAAAGATAATTGGATATGCGGTGCCTGCGGCGTGAAGAGCTCTTCGCAAGTCTCATACCCGAAAGAACAATCGAGAGCAGATACTATGCCATCTCCGAACGGAACAAAAGATGTCTCTTGTAACGCAAGCGCAGCGGCAGGCAGCTCGTGGAGCTCATATTGCTCCACCTGTTGGGGGCGGTTCCAGGGTATAAAGTATCGTCCTTCTCTGTAATTTCCTTGTCCTGCCAGGCTCATCTTGGGGCGAATCAGCAAGATCTGGCCATTGAGGAACACGATTCTCGCATTATAGAGGTTCCCTGAGTGGCGGACGGGCATGCCGACATCGACGAGAATGTCATCGAGCTCCCTATCTGTTAGGAGTTGGGCGAGAACTTCCCAGCAATGCCTTATGGTGTCTTGTTCAAGAAAGTGGTCCAGCAGGCCATATCCTGGGATTGAAAGCTCTGGCGTAGTCGCATACCTTGCTCCAGCAGATTTTGCGATCTTGACGCTTGCCTGTACGAGGTCAGTATATGTTTCGTGTGTAGTCGGTGGAGGAGATGACCTGCCTTGATCCGCTGAAGATTGCCAGTGAAATCCAGGGCCCATTGGTTCAGGCTGCAGGTCGAAAGTGTCACGAGACGACCCATTGTAGGTTGTGGTCTAATCCGGTCGTGGTTGATGTAGTGGTGGCCAATGTCAGTGGTGGGGAAGTTGGAAAGTGAGTCTGAAAGTGAAGGATTAAGTAAGCAGAGTCTCTCGTGACTTGGTGGTGAATCACAGAGAGTTGAGGCGCTCGCTGCGTGCTTGGCGGGGCAGGCTCGTAGTAGTGGGGGTTGCGCACTAACCAAACGCGCCAAGATCGCTTGGGCTAGTCGCGCGTCTCGCTAGGGTAGGCCTTCAGTCCCATCGGCGCCGTTGTCTGTCGGTGGTACATCCAGGCACTGTGATCGGGTTTTTTTCTCTCTCTCGATTTTGCGTGACTCCAGCTCACCATCTCCTTGCATAGCCCTGCGACTGCAAGGCTCGTCTGGGATTTCCGATTGTGCCCTGACTGCGACGACAGCGTTGTGATTTGATTTAGCTCGGACATCGGCTAGAGTGCTCGCCACTTGCCCTGCGTCTGGCGATCCGTCGTGGTTGGTTGGGTTGTCGTGTCTAGAGTCTGCCCAACACACCTCCGGCCGTTGATCTGGCCTGCAGCCGTCGATTAGTGGCTGGCGTGTGCTTGGGTGGGTTCATATGGTCTATCTTTCTCCGCAAAAGGGTCCTGGTATCTACATGCGCAAATGTCGGATTCACACGACCATGCCATTGCCCGCTCTCAGGCCCGGAGGCGACGCAGGATCGATCATGCAGACTTAGCGAGACAAAGGGAGCAGGACTTCTATATACGTATCTCCACGCGCCATACTGAAAGCTACACTCACACCATGCACAGGTACTACCCCCGACCGGGCTCCCATCTACCACAGACAGATGGCCCTGGAAGCCGCCAGGCATCTCCGTCGCCTGGCTCCAAGTCGCAAACGCCTCCGAGTACCCCGCCGCCCTCTCTCGACTATGCTGCTCCACGTGCCTCGGATGATAAAGCCCTGACTGCCTTTGCACAATTGGGCGCTCTGCGCCTGAATGCTCGCCGCTGTCTCATATCCTTCTTCGACCGGAATGACTGCTTCCTCCTCGCTGAGGCTACGCGCACCCTGTCGCTGCAGAGCGGAGAGCCCGAGTTCGAAGACGACCGATTAGCCTTTGGCACCACCATTTTCCCCAAGGAACAGAGTCTCTGTAACTACACCGTAAACCTCGCTCCCAAGTACAGCACGCTGCCTCTCGACGATCCGAGCGACCTGCCTCACCTTGTTGTCAACGACCTCAGCAAAGACAAACGCTTCTGCAACTTTCCCTTCGTCAAAGGTCCGCCTTACTCGCGCTTCTATGCCGGAGTTCCAATTCGCAGCCCAAGCGGTCACAGCATCGGTACATACTGCGTGCTGGACGAGAATCCGCGAAATGGCCTGACGCCGCACCAGCTTGCTTTCTTGAAGAGCATGGCTGGGACAGTAATGCGGCATTTAGAGAGGACTAGGGCAGCAGAAGACCACCGGAGGGCCAAGATCATGGTCAAAAGTCTGGGCTCATTTGCTGAGGGAAAGAGCGGGTTGGAAAATTGGGCACAAGATCCCTGGGACGTGGACACTCAAGTGTCTGGTCTACCAGATGTAATTCTACCGCAACGGCAGCGGCCTGCAGCTACGTCCGATGCTGCGCAGCAACCTGTTGTGCTCAACGGATATGATCATGTAGATCCGGGTATGAAAAACCCGAACGATACCCCGCCTCTAAGTAGTGTGCCACCGAGCATTGCGAACGTGGAGGCATCTGATAGCATGCGGCCAGAAATAACCACCACCACATCGTCCACCTCCACGAAAGGCTTCACCAAGACTGATCAGAAGGACAGGGTAGCCCCGGAACTGAGAGCCCATTTTACACGGGCAGCAAACATGATTGTGGATTCAACCGAGGCCGAGGGAGTGGCATTTTTCGATGCCAAAATCAGTACATTTGGAGGTCTTGTTGACGACGACTTTGATCCAGATCAATTACCAGAGCCGGACAAGCCTTGCGATATCTTAGGGGCGGCTCTTTGCAGGACCGATCGGGATACCAAGCCACTACCCAACACTGGTGAATGCATCTCAGAAAGCGTTCTCAGGCACCTCCTACGACTTTATCCACATGGCCAGATCTTCCATCTCGATGACGACCCTGCATCGCCGTCTGTCAACTCACCATCAACTGGCGTCAGCATCGATGAAGTCGAGTCGGCCGATGGCTTTCCATTCAGTACACCGCGCAAAACTGAATCCACTCGAAGCTTGGACGACGAAGCCTATCTGAGAAGAGTTTTTCCGACTGCTCGAAGTTTGATACTGTATCCCTTGTGGGATCCGCATCGCGAGCGCTGGTTTGCGACGGCTGTCATCTGGAGCTCTGAACCGAAGAGAATCTTTACGACAGAGCAGGAGCTCAGTTACCTGGCGGCCTTCAGTAATTTCGTCATGGCTGAGGTTGCTCGTCTGGACACAAAGCTAGCCGATGCTGCAAAGGCGGATTTCATCTCATCCATCAGCCATGAGCTGCGCTCTCCTCTTCATGGAATACTGGGAATGACTGATCTGTTGAAAGACTCCTCTCTCGACGGTCAGCAGGTGTCCCATTTAGCAACCATCGAGACATGTGGAAAAACTTTACTGGAAACCATCAATCACGTGAGTTGGGATAATCTGCATCAGATACTGCCACTAATTTCATAGGTGCTTGACTTTGCCAAAATCAACAATCTGACACGAGGAGTTTCGAAACGCCAGAAGAAACGTACGCAGAGCGCGAAGCACATGATCAGCCCGGGCCAAGCGCATACCAACGATATCATGACATTGATCAACGACGTCGACATGAGCATACTGACAGAAGACGTGGTCGAGAGTGTCTTCGCTGGCTATACATACGCGAAGACATCTGCTCAGACATACGAGTTAACCACTTCGAAAGTGAACAAACCGCCGATATCCATCATTCTCGACATCAACCACAGCGACAACTACGTCTTCCGCACACAGCCCGGGGCATGGCGGCGAGTCATTATGAACTTGTTCGGAAACAGTTTAAAGTACACGCCTGGCGGATACATCAAGGTCAAGCTTGAGGTTAAGCGAAAACCTGAGGACGACGACGAGTGCGAATTCCGGTTTTCGGTCACTGATTCTGGCATTGGAATGTCGGAGGACTACATCAACAATAGGCTTTTCCACTCTTTTGCACAAGAGAATCCTTTGAGTCAAGGCACGGGTCTGGGTCTGTCTATTGTCAAACAGATCGTCGAATCGCTAGGAGGAGAGGTGGAGGTGCGTAGTGAAAAAGAGCGCGGCACCAAATTCACAGTCACATGTCCTTTGAAGGAGTCACGAATGTCACCAAACGTCTGCGCCACCGGCCTAGAAGGAGAGAAGGATTTGCAACTACAGCAAATCACGAAGCGCACAAAAGGCTTGAAAGTGCGATTTGAGGGCTTCCACGAGGAGGAAGAGTTCCGTGTTAGGGATCTGAAGAACAAAACCGCCTCGAAGCTATCGTTGAAGGCACTCGACAGCCTTTGCGATGAGTGGTTCGGCATCGAAAGATGCGAAGACGGCGACAATGCGTCTGAGCCAGACCTGATAATTGCTACCGAGACCTGTGCCAAAGGGTTGCGAACTACGTACAGCCAGAATCCTGGTAAAGTGTCTCCAACCCCCGTTATTGTCATATGTCAGGGTGCGGCAGCTGCGCAATCAACAACGGCTATCACGGTGCCAGGCATAATCTTCGAATGCATCGGTCAACCCGTCGGACCACACAAGATGGCGAAAGCCCTTGCCTCCTGCCTCGACCGCCACGCAAAACGAGCAGAAACACAGCTACAGCCTCACAAGATCGATTCCATCATTCCCCGCATAACAGAACTGAACCTCACAGAAGAAAGGCCAGCATCAGCACCCCGTCGCACCGACCACCTCCACGTGGTAGAATCCTCCCGACCCCAACTCACGAGCATTAGTAGTGCCCCCGAAATCCGGTCCCTCCACAACACCACTCCCCCCAAGGCTTCCAAATACCTCAAACCAACGCGTGCGCTGAGATGCCTCTGCGTAGACGACAATCCCATCAACCTCCGCCTTCTGCGCACTTTTGTCGACAAACTCGGACACCACCACGTCCTCGCCGCCGACGGCCTCGAAGCGCTCGAATCGTATAAAGCCGCTACCGTCGCCAACGACGGCGAAGCTGCAACAGAAGAATCGCGTATTGATGTTGTGTTGATGGATATCAACATGCCTGTCATGGACGGTCTAGAAGCTACACGGCAGATTCGCGCCCATGAGATCCGAAATAACCTACCCAAAGTCACTATCATCGCACTTACCGGTGTGGCCGATACGGATATCCAGCAAGAAGCTAATTCAAGCGGGATCAACCTCTTCTTGATCAAGCCAGTTAGATTAGCAGACTTGGAAGTTATTCTCAAGGGTGTGGTTACGGGACAAGATAAAGCGAACCTAGAGATTGAGGCGGAGAAGGAGAGGCTAAAGTTGGTGGAACAGGAAGCCATCTTCAAGTCTACAGTGGAGAGCGTGGATGAGAAGGCGAGGGGAATCAATGTGGGTGTTGCGGTTGTTCAGGGCGAGGATGAAGTGGTGAAGAAGGTTAAAGTTTGCGAGACTCAAACGCAGCAACATAAGAAGAGTGCGTCGATTGTTTGATGCACACACGCGCGCGCGCTTCCCAGGAGAATTGGAGGTCTCTTCTTGCTATGACGCTTTTGTGTGCTAAAAAGAGAGACGGCAGGTCGTTCCAGCGTAGACTGTTCGCAGCGTTCGGATTCCACGGAGGGATATTCGCCCAGGAAGACGTCGACACGTATCTTGTCGCTGATAAACAAGCTCGGTATGGACAAGGAATGAGTGAAGAGAGAGAGAGAGAGAGAGAGAGAGAGAGAGAGAGAGAGAGAGAGAGAGAGAGAGAAAGGAGGAAAAATCCACGCATTCTGGCGTACATGGAACTGCATCTTGGCAGTTATCTCTTTGGTCTTTCTCCCGGAAGACGAGAGAAGAAGAAAAAGAATTATCATGGTCAAGAGCAAGCTTGACGAAAACAACGACGACGAAAAGGGGAGTAGCATGTTCAGGCGATTATACCCTTCTATCTTGCATATTCTTTTCCCAGACTTTTTTCTCTTTTCTATCGTCTTCTTGTTGTCTTCTTGTCGTGGCGCAGGGAGATGATGGGTAAGCTGGCTATGGCGATTGGGGCGTCTTTTTTTTCTCTTTTCTTATGAGTGACTAGTTTGGCATGGCATGGCATAGCGTGGCGTTTTTTTTTAGACAGATGGGATAGGGTAGGATGGATGGATGTGTGAAGGCATCACGATTCACAATTATGGTATCTGAATGAAATCAATAAACTACTACTATGTTAGCACGCTTAAATGATGCGGATTCCGTTGGCTCGTACACAGGAGCGGTAGGCGTGAGAAGTAGGACGTTTAATGAACCTCTAGAAAGCATCATTCAGACAACAGGTGCATGATTTGGTAGTAGTGTTTAGCCTGCAAAGATGAGTTTTTATTGATATAGTGTGTGCTATGAGATGACATATTCAAGGAAAGTATGAGTAAGTTGTAATACTGCTAATAAATGCATCATTCCATGCTCTTCCATGACACTGACACCATCTCATCCAAGTCCAAACCCAGCCCCCAACCCCAAGATCAATCTTATCCAAAAGCGATGACAACCCTTCACAATTGTTCAGTAATAATCAGGTAAGGGATACCAGCCATTGCAAGCACTACGCAACTAGTTAGACACGGCCATCTCCCTATGCGCTTGCGCTAAAATCTCACCAGCAGCCTCCCCCATGAAGACAAACGCCTCAATTGCGACAACGTGCAACACAAAAACGAACATGCCAATCGTGATGAAGAAGTTCTTGGTGAACAACTTGATAAGGCGGCGTCTGGCCTCCCAGTTGAAGCTCCTCCAGGCATCAAGGAAGCCAACGACACCAGTTCCACCCATGATCTTGCTAACGACCTTTCCGCCAAAGGTACGATCGAAGGGAACGATGGTGTCCTGGTCCTCGGGGAGCAGAGAAGCTTCGATACGGACCAAAGTGACCATGGCAGGGAGGCAGAGGAAAAGTGTGCAGGTGATGGCAAACACAATGACAGCAAGGACCCTCGCGATGAGACCGATCTTGTCTGCACAAGTCTCAATAGAATGGCCCTCGTATCCAAGCTTGTTGAGCTTAAGCAGCATGAATACGCCAGCTGTGAGGTACATGCTGACATAGGGCATAACGGCCTTGAGCGCGGCGGGGACGGCAAGAGTCTTCCAGTGGGCCTTGGAGGGGATACGCCCCCAGAAGAGGCCGTCGGTGGGCATAGCGACAACCTTGTGTGTCCACGCGGCGTGTACGTTGGCGAGAAGGGCAGCGCTAATGGCAGCGCCAACAACAGCTGAACCGGGCATGCCCTGTAGGGCCCCCGAGAAGAACGTTGTAGCCAGGCCAGACAGGAACGAGTAGAAACAATGAATCTTGAAGCCGCGGAAGCGGGACCAGCGGCCGGCGTGTGCGACAAGGTGGCGGACGGTAGCGCGGATGGACGCTGTGATGGGCTTCGCGTTCACGAGGGTGATTGTCGGACCGGCTTCGAGGAGTGTTTCCTTCTCGTTGGAGTCTTCTTTGTCGTTGGAGGTTTCGTGGGTAACGGTAATAGCGGCTACGGGGGACTCGACCATGCAGAGGGTTACGACGACTTGGTTAAGCATGTAGGAGAACTAATCATATCTTATTAGCAACATGGTCCTGGACATCAGGCAGGAAGATGGGGACCAGGACGTACGAGGCTGATGCCTATGGCGGCAATGAAGATGGTGGCATAGATAGGAACAACCTGCCAGATGCTGATAGACATGTCTCCAGGCCTTGACATTGGTTCAGGACGTCCTAAGGCGCGCTTGACGAACGAAGACGCCTGCGGGTGCGACACGGCGCGACGAGCGAGCTCGACGAGGACCGTCATCTTGTCGATGTCCTCTGTAAAGCCTGTTCCTTAAATTGTCTGAATATATCGTATATCGAAAGGTCGCGGTCGCTTCGAATGGTAGAAAAGGGTAAAAAGAATAAAACAGAAGACAAGAAGAGTTGACAACAGGTAAAAGGGTGAAGTGACAAGTTGGCGCTGTCACAGCGGCACGGCGTTCAAGACGGACTGCGACCGGCCAAGGAGGCGAAGTCCAGCCCCATTGACGCAACAAGACGGTTGCCTGGTCGCGCACGGTCCATGTGCCGACTTAGCCGCTGATCTATAATTGGCCCCGCCTTGTGTGAATGTGACAGAGAGTGGTTCAAGTAATTCACATTCCGATACATGCAGATAGCTCTTGGGGGAAGACGCGGGCGTGCTCCTTCACAATAGAGTCTATTGTCTACAGAGAGCATGTTCTGGTGTCACTCGACAAAACTATACCTGAAACCGGTTCGGCCACAATGATGGATGAACCTGTATCCCAACACTCTCAGGCAACCTGCAGAAGATTTGGGGCCAAAGTTGGACGCCTCATCTCTTAATCATCACCCGTGGTCTAATCCATGACATCACGCGTTCAAGTAGACAACAATAAGAAGACAATGTTTCATTATATCAACCGTCAACTACATGACGAGAAAGAACAACCCCCATGTTACCATGATTACAGTACCGGAACCCCGCCCATGACAGACAGGACAATGTAGAGGGGAAAACAGGAGAAGGCGCTAGACTAGAGACGCGACCAAGAAAAGGCTTTTAAAGGAAGAATGATACACAACGCTGGCCTTGTTTCCAATTTCAGGATGAGCATAAGTCGTCATACGTGAGCATCATGAAGATGTGTGTGCGTGTTAGAGATCGATCGTAGCGTATTCGAGGTTGAGGTGAGTAAGATGGTCTGGGAAGATCAAGCTTATAGGGCAGGATGGGCCGCTGCGATCTTCTCGCCCTCGGTCTCGGACTCGTCGGAAGAAGACTCAGCCTCGGCAACGGGTGCGTGGGTGGGAGCTGACGGGAAAGCCTCCTTCTTGACCTCTGGGGAAGTGGAACGCCCGCGGTACTGGTTGACGGTCTCCTGGGCCTTGGCCGTAGCCTGCTGGGTGTAGCCTTGTACAGTCTTCATGGCGTTTCCGGCGTGCTGGTTAGCAAGGCCTTTGACCTGCTGAGCCTGCTGGTTGGCAATGTTGAGACCCTTCTCCAACTGGGCGTCGATGACCTCCTTGTTCTGAATGTACACAAGAGGACCGAGGAAGGTGATGAATGTCGAGATCAAGGCCAAGCCCCAGAGCGGGACAAACTTGATGAGGAAGTAAGAGATGAGGGAAGCGAAGAAAGCCTGTAAGGGATAGTCAGCAGCTGTACTCGTTGTTCAACCTAAGGGCATACTCACAGCAACGGTGACGTAGACGTTCTCGGCGAACATGATACGCTGGGACTCGATGACAAAGAAGTTGATGAGCTGCTCGAAGTCGTCCGTCATGCGCTCAAGCGAAGCCTTGGGGATAGTGTAGTACTGGCGGGGCCTGAACTGCGAAGTAAGACCACGTCCGATAGCCACTTGTCCGACAACTTCGGCAGCTGCGGTAAGACCAAGTACCATGTAGGAGGTCTTGAAGATGTAGCGGATCAGATTCAGGTATCGTGCGGCGAAGATGAAGACGACGGTTGCACCAAAAGCGATGCCGGTAGCGCGAGGGTTCTTCCAGCTCAACAGGCGGTAGAACATGCTGTGGTAGTCTGGTATATGTGTTAGCTACGTTGTCGATATGGAACACCAGTGTAGCCCTACGAGTGAGGTTCTGACCAGTCGCGGCCTTGTGCTCGGGAATCGTCTTGGAGTTGGCCAGATCAGCAAACTCGTCGCGGGTCTTTGCGCCCTCTGCCTTGACATTCTGTGCAACGGGGCCTGCAAAGTTTAGCAATGGTCGTGTGCGCATCATTCAGATATCTGCAGGCTGTTAGCTGCGGTCCGGAACACGTAGGGACGAGTCTGTGTACATACCTTACCGTTCATAACGGTCTGCTTGGCGTTCTGCACGCTGGGGTGGTTGTTTGCGGCGTTCATGGCGTTTGAAGCTGCTTTGTGGGTGTCAGTTCAGGAAATCAAGTGTTGTGCGGGCGGCAGATAAGAACTGCGATATATGGCGTTAGCTTGCGTCTCGGTAAGGGTCGAGGGCGTTCTGTCCCACTCACCTCACTCTCTAGAATTCCGTTCTTTGCCTTGATTGCGCTGTTCTGCAAATCACTGTTTGCGCTGCCGTTTACGTGGGAAGGAGAGCCGTCCATTTGGTTTATGAGATCCGGAGTGCCGTTGGGCGTGGCTAGGTCGAAATCGGTTTGTGTGTTGTTAAGCTCAACTCGGGGAGCTCCTGACATCGCTGAGGACTTGGCCGTGGAGGGGTATGATCACGGGTAGATGAGGGCAAGTAGTAGTGTGGGAGTATAGTGACAAGGTGCTGGGGTATGGGAGAGTGTGAGAGGTAGAAGGTGCTGCTATGGTTTTGTGCGGGTACTGTCGTGTGCGCAGCAGTTTGTTGGGCACATTCACCAAAACGTCATGGCTCCACTCCACAATGGCCTGGCCATGATTTGTTTTCCACTGCCACTCACGACGCACTTCTGCACATACAGGTTTCATAGCAAATAGTGTCATTGGCATACATGTGCATCATTCACACAATGCCTGAAACCAAGTTGCTGCGTGTCGACTTGTCCTTTCCGCGGATGGGATTCTTGTTCAGGTGGCAGGCCCAAGCGTTCGGCCTGTTTCACATGTGAAAGACGGCCAGGTGGTCTTGATTCCCCCCTCATGACGCAACATAGGACCAATGTCACAGTCAGTCTCACAAAATCTCACGGTACACATGCCCAAATGTACACATATTAGATGCATCTCTTTGTCCTGTGCATGATATTTATCTTGTTGATCCACTTTTGCATGCCAGGTCCCAGACAGATCCCCCTGTGTCGATCTCCCTTTCATCCAATGTCGGATTGTCTCTAGCATGGACCAAGATGTGGTTTACTCCTGCAGCATACGGACATTGGCATCGCAGCCTGCGGAAGACATTGTCGACAATTTTATCATCCAGCATGCACCTCAGCGTCATAAGGGAACATGTATCCCCACTTAGCCCACATTTGTAGTTGACGAGCTAACAACGCGCTGAACGATGATGTAGGCTCTGCGCCATGTCCATCTCATCTGTCGCCTCGCTCCCCTGGGGTTGGCAATAAGTCGGGAAATTAACATGGCTCGTAGCTCTTGGACATTGCAAATCCCCCTTGTGATTCGGATTATTCTGCTGACACTGGGAACTTCGCCGAAGTGGCTTTGATTATCGTGCATCTGAACATGTGGAACCATCAGGACCGATCACGCGAGTCTAAGCCTTGCGGCTCTATTCTCGATCAGAGCCACGGATAGGGTCTCTTGCGACCTGCACGTGAATATTTGGCCGTGGAGGAATCTCGGAGGCATGTAGCGGTTGACTGTCAGTGAAATTTTGGGGTATAGGGGTGGTTTGTCTCTTCGTGTATAGCGCATGAAGGATCTTGGAGAGCGCTTTCGGCGGGGAGCGCATCGTTTGTAGTACGATGAGGCTCGGCGATGTCAAGTCTACATGGTGGCATATGTAAATGCTGTACACGAGTACTTAGAGGCCCATACTGTTCCTGGGCGCCAAATATAGGACCCCAACTATTTGTGCTACCAGGCGAAGCAGGATCGTCGGCTAGGTGTGGATGGACAAAGGAATGTGGAGGGGAAATTATGGATGGTCACTCCGCTGCGCTTCCGCGGCAGCGGCGATGACTGATATGACCGTCCACGAAGCTGCAACGTCATCTCTCGGCAAGGGTCATGTACTCGATATATTGAGTGGGTATTTGTGCTTTCTAATCTTACATGGCACCCCTATGTGATGTTACAATGTTTGTTGTTGTCATCGGAAGGGAGTGCTTCGCAAAGGCAGGTGCGAAACGGAAGGCGGGGGTTCAGGGTCTCACGAGGCAGGCGCAGACGCACAGGGCACTCTACCACGCGACAACAAAGGTGGGGGTCATCGCCCTCGGCCTCCTGCTTTGCGCTCTGCGAAATGGCGCATCTCATACAGTATTGATAGCCGGGCGAGACTCGCAAGAGTTGTGCGATAATGCGCACACTTGTGCACCGACTGGTTAGGCTGGACGCCATATTGGCGGCCTCAACCCCGGGATCCGGGACTATTTCGAGTCCCAATCCAGCAGCAGTCAGTGTCATCGAGAGTTGGTGAATATCTCCGTCGGCGTGCCGAAGCTGATTTTTCTTGGCCTCGGGTGTGAGTTGCCAATGCTTCAAGGAGCCTCCGAGCGGTCAGCGCCGCTGCAGAGGGGTCTGAGGGGTGTTTGACCTCCCGCCTCTTCGCCAACAGGCCCCAATCGCCGTTGTCGAGAGATAGACAAAGGCCACAAGCGCCATAGCGGAAGCGTAGCACCATTGGAATTATGCAGGTGGCTGCAGGGATGACTCCGACGGCCAGCAACAGGTCCTCCCGTCAAGATGCTCGCCGTTGGACTCGAGCAGCGGCTGCGAGAATCATGCTTGTCCCAACTCTGACCCTGGGTCATCTCAGAGCATGTCACAGCGTCGTCAGGCAACGCCTATCAGCGAGGACCAGGAGTTGGATCCAAGAACGCTAGGGTTGGCAGGGCATGGCAGCAGGCAGTCCGCGCGCCATGGACGATCGAGGCGGGCTCCAGCGAATATGTGGCGTACCTCCGAAATCCTGGCCAAGGTCTGCCGTTGCGATAAGACCCACTCACACGCGCGCTGCGGCTTGCGTTTATCACACCTCTCCCAGCCGGGTGACTTGTCTCTCTCTCTCTTCATCTTCACTCACCGCACATCGTCGCACCGTCGACAAATTCGCGTCGAGGCTACAAGCCTAGCTTGCGAGTATACCCACTTGACACTCCCAGATCCTCGGTACGCCAGCAACGTCAGCCAGAAGGAGCGACATGGTCAAAGCGCTCACCTATCGCCATTCCCAACTCGTCACCGCTACCGCTGCCACTCAAAATCGGCACTGAGCACGCGACATCCAAACAGCTCCCCCTCTACGGAGGCGAGAGTCTGTGAGGACTGCTCAACAGCAGCATGATAATATCACGCGATATCTACAATGACTCTCCCCCGCTGCGCCGAACCCGCATGGCCAACAATCCGACTCTCCTGTATTCTTGGTGGTGCACTGTATTTTCCGCTGTCATCATAGGAGTCCGACTGTCGGGCCGCTATATTCGTAATGAAAGACTCTTCCGCGAGGACAAGGTCATGGCACTCAGCATCATCCCACTGTTTGCGCGAATGGGATTCGCTCACGTGGTCCTGATCTGGGGCACCAACAATGTCAACGTCACGAATTTGACAGACCCTACCATCATCCGCCACCGCGAGATCGGCTCTCAGATGGTCCTCGCAGCGAGGATTTTCTATGCATTATTGTATGTGCAGTCATCAACTTGAATCAGTGTGTGACTAACCCATGCTAGCATCTGGATGGCCAAGTTCACCGTTTCAGAGTTCCTGAAGCGCTTGACGGAACGTTTCTGGAAGAGAGGATACGATTGGGGACTGCGTGCCATACGAATCTTTCTTGTCGTTACCTTCCTCATGGTTCTGATTGCCACACTCGCAGAGTGCCATCCTACTACCCATTACTGGCAAGTTGTCCCGGATCCAGGACCGCAATGCCGACAGGGTTACGCGCAGCTACTCACCATGGGCATTTGCGACATCGTCACCGACGTTTTCCTTATCGCCTTTCCGATCCCGATCATCGTGCGTTCGAGCATGCCATTAAAGCGGAAGATCTCACTTGTCTTGCTGTTTTCCTTATCGATCGTTCTAATCGTTGTCACTGGCGCTCGAATGCCTCTGGTAATGCAAAGATCAGGTCTACAGCAGTTTCGCACCGTATTCGCTTCTTCAGAGATTCTGGCTGCCACCATCGTTTCCAACGCCATCGTCCTAGGCTCCTTTCTTCGCGACCGAGGTGTCAAGAAACCAAAGTTCAAAGCACCATCTACCACAGACAGTATGGAACGCCGAGGATCAACACGCCGCTTCACGGACCAGACCGGTAGCAGTGATGAGGATCTTGCAAGGTCACTAGGATACCGCACAAAACCTGAACTGCTCGATAAGTCGACAAGCCTACCAAGACCGGCTCCCGTGGCGGACCTCGACCTCCTATCATCGTCCAGACAACCCGGTCCTTTTACAAACAACAACTGGAAGTTCCCTGATGAGGAAGCTGGTATGCTTCCGTGCAACGGTCGACCAAGCATGACAGTCGAAGACATACGAGATCCGATGCCCAGTCCTCGTGCAAGGCGCGTGTCATGGTTCGACGTGGGTGGACTCCTGGAGAATCCAGCCGTAGCTCCCTCACCCACCGACTCAGTCATTGCGCACGACTTCGCAGCCCAGTCACAGCCACGAAGAGGGTCCAGAGCCTCAAACACGATCATGCCAAACGCACGCGCATTTCTGCCTCAAGCACGACGCAACTCCCGACTTTCTCAACAGTCCGAAGACTACGAGATGACTCAAGTCCGGCCCACCAATCAGTTGCAGGATCCTGGGGGCTTGCTGTCCGAAGACCGCGAGCAAGAAGAAGCGTTGTCGACCCCATCTCCACATTCAGGCTCCTCAGCCGGTCCCCCTTCTTGCCAGACACGATACGCGCCTATACGACGCACATCGACGCGCTCGACACAACAAAGCTACGATGTACCATCGCTAAAAGATCCTGGAGGCTTGCTCTCTTCCGCACCGCCTCCCCCGTCTACACGACGCAATCCTCCCCAACAAGGCCGCAAAGTGCCGTCCCTACAGGACGCCGGCGGCCTTCTTGGTTGACGACACCCGTTCCTCCTTTACATTTTCCCTGCGTGATACCCCGGCCTTCGCGGCCTCGTTTGCATTCGCATAGTTTGCCTAATGCTTTCCTTTTCCTTTAGTCAGTACCCGCACGATATCCACCTACGTAGGTGGGCGTTGATGGATTTACGATTGATGGGCTACGAACGCGATACCCATGGAACCATCAGACATCTTAGGCTGGATGTCGCAGAGTAGATCACGATCTATAGTCGGGCAGCAAGACGCATGTGTATTATAGCAATAACAATATATCGAACGACGCTTGACGTCGCTGTGGCGTCGTTTACGGCGGTAAATTGCCGACCTATAAATGAAGTTTAATATAGACGTTCTCGGCTCTTGTGGTCCTGGCACCCGGGTACGTGGTACATGTCGTAGGAATGTAACATGGTTTTTACGCTAAAAAGCAATCGCTCGAAAACGTTGATTACCGAGTAAGTGGTTCAGCATCCAACGCTTGGAGCCCCTGTGGAACAGGTAGCGTTCGGATATTATTCAACAGTGTCTTGGCTGCTCAACGGCGCGCGGGAAGGAAGCTGCAGGGCGCGACGCGACGGTCATAGCTCGCACTATTAGCAACAGCTTGAACCTTCGAGCAGTAGCACAACCTACCCACCCGCCATCATCTGGTAGCACGTCAGAAATGAACAATGACGCGCCCACGCTCCTCGAAATCATCCAACTAACCCGTCAAGAACTCACCCACACGCAGAAAACCGACCCGATTCGCGAATGCGGACGCGCTGCGCTGGCGCTGCTTCCCTCTGATTCCGACCTAGCATTGAAGCTCGCCTATCAGAAATTACACGATGTGCCGTACAAGGAGGTGAAGACGTGCTGGCGCAGGCTATACGCGGATGCGAGTCTATGGAAGGTGGTGAAGGTGGTAGACGACCAGCATGGCCAATTCGCAAAGGGTAGATACGATGAAGAGCGAAGCCATGCTGCCGCTGAGAAGAATGCCTGGGTTGACGACGTGGTACGAACACTGGATATGACGCTTATATTGACAGGCGCACCTGAGAGAGAGGAGCTCGTGGAGTTGTGGTTTGCAGCGTTGAAAGCTGTCCTAACGCCTCCAGGACGAAATTCCAACATCGACGCTGACGCTTCCGAGCCCCCGAATAAACGGAGAATGCTGTCGTTTTCGCGTCAAACCTCCTGTGTACCAACGAGCTTCCCGACGGTGCTACCCAATCCCTCGCCCACCATCCGACACGCGATACCTCGGACGAGAGAACTCAGTCTGGAGGCTTTCCAGAAGAGAGTTGGTGACACGGCTATGCATACACCTGTTATCATCGAAGGTGCGATACAGCACTGGCCCGCACTCGACGAGCGACCGTGGAACAACCCAGCATATTTGCTCGAGCAGACACTCGGTGGTAGACGCCTCATACCCGTTGAAGTGGGCAAGAGCTACACAGACGAAGGCTGGGGTCAGCGCATAACCACTTTCCGCGCCTTTATGAAGACATACATGCTCGAAGGCGCGAAAGACGCGGTCTCAGCTACATCACACATGGACAATGTGGGTAGCCCTGATCGTGACGGTGCTGATGGCAGCCAAACGCCAACACCACCACCGACAGGCTACCTAGCTCAGCACGACCTCTTCGCCCAGATCCCATCTCTCCGCGCCGATATTAGCATACCTGACTACTGCTACTCCTCACCCGCCCCTTCCCCGCACCTCACACACATTAAACCTGTTCCGAAGCTCGAAGAACCATTGCTTAATGCTTGGTTTGGACCTAAGGGGACTGTGTCGCCTCTACATACTGATCCGTACCACAATATACTTGCACAGGTCGTGGGGTACAAGTACGTGAGGTTGTATGCCCCGGAGGAGACGGAGCGGTTGTATCCGAGAGGAATGGAGGCGGGCGGCGTGGATATGAGCAATACCAGTCGTGTTGATTTGGACGAGGGGATGGAAGTTCTGGGGGAGGTGAGTTGCTGGGAGGTTGAGGGCTTGTCAAGTGAACGGCGAAGGGAATTCGAAGAAGAGTTTCCTGGTTTCAAGGATGCGAGGTATATTGAAGGCATTTTAGCCCCGGGTGAGTGTCTTTATCTTCCTGTAGGTTGGTGGCATTATATACGTAGTCTCACACCTAGTTTTAGTGTGAGCTTTTGGTTCAATTGAATCATTGTTTTGTTCATCTATCTTTCTACTACCTCAAATGATGGTATCGTACATGTCTCTGATGATCACTCCTCATTGCATTCTCTGCATTTCCGCATCGCCAATCCTCTAACTCTTAACATCCTCCGTGTGCGGAACAGCAATCATCGAAATTTAACCTACGGAAGATGATCGCTTTCGCGTTAAGACAACGACGATGCGCCTGTTCGCAGTAGTATTGGCATCGTTGATACATCTCCCGATGGCTGCAGCCACATATCTTATAGTGGGTTATCAGGTATTCACACATTTTTGGTGATTGTAACAGTCTGTGGTTATCCAACGTTTGGTGATGAGCTGGGCTGGTAATGTAATCCTGGAGTTGAGATGGTGGATAGTGTGAGGAATGGCGAGAGAAGGAAGCGCGGCGTTGATAGAAAGTACAAGGGGAGAGCATAGTTATAATTGTAATTCAGATGGATCTATCAAATATGAGTTGTGAAAGGGGATTATAAATTCTCCTGGGGCATAGTCAAGGTATAGATAACTCGCTTTTCTTTTATTCACTCGTTGGACGGAAGACTTTGTAGCTTCCTGTCAGTTCCTTTTCAGTATACTGTTGGACGACGTCCTACAGAGCGATACACATCCTCAAAGACTCTGTTCCCAAACCATCTAATTCGACTCTTGCAGCACCAACGCACCATTCCCAACCAACCCACCTGCTAACCCGCTTCCCCTGCACTCATAATCCGCTCTGCCCAAATGCTAGATTAACATCATGACCCTACCCTCCATCCCTCATCCCCCTCTGTCTCCTAATCCTTACCCAAAAGCCGGACTAATAGCATACCCCACAACCAGCTCCTCACCCTGCCTAAAGCAGCTCCAAAGATTCCCCACGCCCTCATCCAACCCAGGACTAAACACACTCCCCACGTAGCAAAACACACTCTCGTGCTCCTTGACACCGAGTCGTCTCCGGAGGAACCGCACTATCGTTGCAAACGTCGAGTTTGTGCCAAGCTTGAAAATGCGTTGAGTTAGGTGCGGGGCTGAGCCTATAGGTTGGAGACGAATTGTCACTGTGAGAAAAGAGGGGGGTGGTTAGTTGTGTGGAGTTGGGGGGTAGGGCCAGAAAAGAGAGAGATGTAGGTGGGATGGAATGAGATGGGGAAGGAGAGTTGCGAAGAGGGTGATATCGCCGGTGGATCCCCGTCCCATAGTATGGATGAAATGGAAAAACAATCCAATATACCTTTCTGTACAGCGAGGCTCCCGGCAGTTTCTAGCGCTTTCGAAGCATCTTTCGGCAGGTTGGTCAAGACGACTGACGCGGCCATGGTGAGGGGCGCTTCTGTTGTGTCGTCTTCTTCTGGCATCCTCTCTTTTGGTGATTGGGACATTGTGTGAGTGGATATGTATCGTTGCGGAGCGAAGTGAGTTCAGCGTGAGTACAATGAACAGACCGTTCAATGTTCTAAGAAGGAATTACAAAATAAAAGAAGATGGACTCATGCAAAGTGATTATTGATGGTCGTTCTAGGTAGAAGCGGTGATCAGGTGTAACTGCCCCAACCAACCAATCACCGCCCCACCACACCAACATCACTTCTTAAAAAGCAAAAGGCACCCAATCAACCTTATCATCTTTCGCATTGATATCTAGTGTTTTCTACATATCTGATACGATAATGATATATAACATAAGCCTCCATTATGGCGCTCATCCGCTTATTCGTCGCCAAGTATACTCACCTCTCCCGTGTGACAATGTTCTACAAACCTCCATAGTAGTACCAACCAACCCTCGTTTTACTGATAAAAACACACGCGCGCGCACGCACACCACCAGCCAGCCGGTTTGCATATCGCAAATGAACCAGCAAAATTTGTGACCCGAAGGTCATTGGACGCAATAGCTATATACAAAGGGGACGGCATGCATCGTTAGCCCACCAGGGATCGAAGATCGTTGGCCTAATACTGTGGTAAAGGAAAATCGGAGAGTCAAGTCAAGCTTATAGTCGCCAAGAAAAAGGGATGGAAAGGCAGAAGCTGCGCCTCGAAAATGCTTATGGAAATCGGGTATTCGCTCGCAGAGTAATGCCATGCGCCCGGGGGCGAGAAGTGAACAGATGTTTGCGAAAGAAAATTATGTCGTGGGTATTAGTGAGGTCGTGCATTACGCCGTAAGGGATGCAATGAGTGGCCGTGTAGTCTGCATGAGCCGTAGGGCTCATCGACGATCAAGTTGGGCGAGGAGCTGGTCTAGCTCGACCCAGTTCTCGGTGGTGACTGCGAACTTGCGGTGCTTGCGTGAGAGGATGTGCTGTGGAATGTCAGTATAGCTCGCAAAATGCACAGTCATGATTCGTACCTCGTCGAAGTCATTGAACTTCTCCCTGCAGTTCTCGCAGTAACCAGGCTTCAACTCCTTCTCAGCAGTCTTGCGCCTGCGGAGGGCTGCTGCTTTACGAGCTTGTCTCTCTTCGTCACCGTCATCGTGCGCATGACCCATGTTCTCCTGAGCCTTGCGCTTGGCTGCTCGCATGGGTTGAGAATGCTCATAGCTGAGCGCAGCCCTCACATCGTTTGTGACGGACGAATGGCCACTATTCGTATTCGCCGACGGTACGCTGTTCTTCTCGAGGACCTTACGTTTCAATTGGTTCACTTCCTTGCTGTTTCCAGCACGTGGCGCGGCAGCAGTCGAGGATATCATCTGCGAGCGGATGGCGGAGGTGATGTTGGATTGGTGTAGACCAGACGCGACTGGCTCACCAGCAATAAAACGGGGCATGGCTCGGATGCTAGCCTGAGCACTGCCAAACATGGGTGGTGGGCCGTCTGCCGTGTTGCATCGCTTGGGTGGGAGGCCCTTCGGGGGGTCTAAGGGCTTTGCATCCGCATCCTGGTCTTCCTTGACGATGGCAGCAGGGGCACTAGGACGCCTGGCCAAGTTGTTGTTCTCTACTAGAGCACTCTTCTCTTCCATGGCTGAGACAGCACGCGTCCGTGGAGCCTGGGCTGCCTGCCTTCGACGTGCTTCCTGCTCTTCCTGCTGTCGGCGGCCGAAATGGGGATCTTCAACAAACGGACACTTGCCATTACCTGAGGCACGGAACTGTGGCCACTTGCCCTTCTCTTTCTCCACTTTCTGATATTCTCGGATCATAACAGGTCGGGTGACCTCATCCATGTCGTGCACGTATACGTAGTAGCCACGAAGAGGGATCATGTCCTGCGAGGCCATGACGTAGTCGCGATCCATCTTCTCGTTTTGCAGCAGCCTCTGTAGGTCAGCAGGACGGCCCTTCTGATGTTGCGAGGCTACGGCGTGGCGCGTCGGATGGCTAGCTGCATCTTCACCAGTCTCCTTGTTGAACATGGTGTCTACCATCCGCTGCAACTTCTCCACGGACCATATCTTCATGCCCAAGCTCTTAGCCTTGTGCAGGATATCACCGCGGTCAGACCTCTCCAGGGCGGCATCGAAGATGGACTTCTTGTTCTCCAGCTGAGCCGGGTTGACGGTGCCCTTGTGGGTGGATGAGCTGCCATCGAGGTCGGCAGGAATGGAACGCGTCGTAATGACGTGGGTGACTTCTCGGGAGAAAAAATTGACCTCACGCTGAAGATTGTTAGCAAGATGGGAGTAGGATAGGACATGGCAGACGTACGGAACCTAGGTGCTTTGCCCTATGCATCAGCTTGTCTTTCTGGGCTTCTGGCACGCTGTCAAAGTAGAAAGCAAACTGAGGGAACAGCTTGCGATAGTGACGCTGCCACTGTCGGATCGTCTCCAGGTCGTTGGACGCTCGCTGGGCGGCCTGCTTGGACGGGGCCTTTGACTCTCTTGCTGCTTCCAGCTTGCGGGTCAAAGCCGTGGGCTGGGCCCCACTCCGACGGACCAGGCCATGGCGATGGGCTTCGGCATCATCGACTTGGATGACTTGTTTCTTGGGCGGCGGTTGGCCATAGAGGACGTCGCGCTGCTCACTGGCGTGTGAGCGTTGGCGCTTTCCTCCTATAGCCGTCGCGCGTAACGGGGAATTCGTAGCGTTTTGCAGGTTGGCGAGGGGGACGCGCCGGTTCGACATGACTACTGGAACCTGGGGCGACGGAGGGACAGCTACTGCTGCCATACGTGGGAGAGCGGCCGGAACTGGTCTCGAGGCGTAATAGATGATATGCTGGGTGGGAGGGGCACGTGTGCGTGTAGCTCACGACGCGACGGTACAGGCACGTCGAGGATTTTCTAGCAACGCGTAGCTGCCATGTCGAGGTGCGGGAGCTTTGGAGACCAAGGTACAAGGTGACAGCAGAGTAATTGAGCGAAAGAGAGGCGCGTTGCAGACGTCGATCTGCTTTCATCGACCAAGGAAAGAGTAGTCTTTGTTTGGCCTGGAGGCTGGTACAGTATGATGCAGTCGGCGCTAGAGTCAACTGGGCTAGCCTGAAAATCTCGCGCGAACCATCCACAACATCTTTGCCTAGACAACGACCTGGGCAAACACAAACCATCCTTGCCGACAACACCGTCAGTGCGCCCTGCACGACATCTCGCGTCCACTCTCTCGCTGCCCATCCTCGGCCTCTGATTCAGCCTCAGGGGAAGATTCGCAACTTCCCCATGTGGCGCCTCTCCTGCTACTTCCATCTAACGCCGACCCCACTTCTCCTATCTTCTGCCCTACTAACAATTCGACGTCCAGCGCTGCACCACTGGGTCCGTCTCATCTTACCAATAAGGCCCCCATCGCCGTTGAATGGCACCGGCCGATCTTCGCTTCTCATTGCCTGCCCTACGGAAATGTGACAGATTCAAACTTATTCAGGGTCTGCATGGTGGAGCCTTGGTCGATAGCCCGAGGTGTCACGCCTCTTGGTCGCGACTTTGTTGTATGGGTCGCAAAACACCGGATGCGTCATGAGAAGTGCACACAAGGAAGACCAAGCAGCAAAACGTATAAAGGTATCACTCCGGTCTTGCACGCACCACGCACCAGACGCCGTTGAGATCTATTCTTGATGCATTGTGCAGATGATGCCCAAGTTCTCATTCGAATGCCATTCAACACTCGCTCATCAATACTTGAGTACCCCGGCTCAGTTCATCGAATCCTCAATCCGCTTTCCTAGTCAGCCGATTCTTGTAGATATGTCCCTCGCTGGTCACATGAGGAATGCCGCTGAAACTCCACCGTATTGTCTTCCTGGAATTGAACAATGAACATCCTTGCCTGTGGCACAGAGCTCTACTCCTTACATTGGTACGCTCAAAACAGCGACGCCACGATGCACGCCTTAGCGAATCTACCAACCAGGCTGATATTGCTGTGATGGCCATTTTCTTACATTCTAGAAAAAGAAAAACTTTTCGTCATGTACAACAAACGGAAGAGACTGCTTGCTCGCCTCAGAAAAGAAGTATGCCAAGAGAATTCATTGCGAAAAAAGGTCTATTGAATATTACATGAGAAGAACTCGCGCGAAAGCAGTAGTGAGTACTTCAAAATAAAGAGAACCATTCCCTGATGATACTCATTCGTACAGTCATCATCATCTGTGTTGGTGTGTCCCAAATCATCATCCTAAACCACGTTACTCTTACGAACTCTTCGCTTCGACTTCGAGCCCTTGCATCCTCTGCCACTAGCATATCCCTCATCAGCTTCGTCGTCGCTGGATCCAGCACTTAGTACAAAATCGTCGTCATCAGCGGCATCATCTCCACCATCTTCACTCTCTTTAAACCCATTGGGAAGAGTGGTCCGTCGATTAGATCGCCGTGGATACCGGGCACTGGGTGACTCTGGGTCTCTTAGAGCAGCTATGTCTTTTGAAGATGTCGCGGTATTCTTTGAACAAGATGCTGGCTTCGGTGGCAAAGAAGATGAGGCTGGGGTTGTCTTATCGTGGGGGACGATCGTATAGGCTGATGGTCGAGACGGGGGTTTAGGAGACTTTGCACTTCTTGCTACGGTTTTTGCCCTCGCAGATGCTGGAGTACTGTTTGATTGAGATGCAGGCTTTGAAGTATCAGGTGGTGGCGCCGAGTGTCGAGACAGAGGGCTGGGTGTAAGTGGTTGTCTTGGTACAGTATTTCCTGCCATGAATGTCCGAGAGATTTTCGAATCAGATGCGGGTCTTGGTTGCACAGAAGGTGAGACTGTGGGTCGATCCTCGGGTGGCGGTGCGACGGACCTCGCTCTCCTTCGTTGTTCGACTTCGTCGCCGTCGGGTGTGTTGGTGGTCTTGGGCTTCGGACCGATGCGAACATGAGTGATCCATCTGGATATCTCAGGTTTCACACGTTTGTACACCCATTCATGCATGTTATCAATCACCGTACGCAGTGCGAAGACGCCCCAAGTAAGTTCTAGGGATGTTGCCCAAATGCAGCGCATCTCAATGTTCTTACTCTCCTAACGGATGTTAGCCATGAGCGATATCTTCATCGCCATAGTTGTACTCACTGTATTCCTGAATGTGAGCCAAAGTCGAACGCTTGGGCCCACGCATGTGAAGGAGAAGATGACAAGAGCGTCGGATTTCGGGTCCTGTATCTTCTTGGCCAACCCCTCTCGCATCTTAAGTGCTTCGGCAGACCCGTTTGCGGCTTGACAGTAACAAAACTCTGCCGTGCCGCTGTTGTCGGTGTCATGTTTGACCTCGACAATAGTCCAAGGAAAGCACGCCAGGTCTGAGGCACCTAAATGCTTCGGTTTTGTTGGATCACAACTCAGCAAGCTGGTCTTTGGCGATGAGATGACGCGTTCTCTCTTCCGGAGTTCACTGAGAACAGGGAGCGTAAAATTCTTGACATCATTGTCAAAGCGATATTCCTTCGCTATCTTAGATTCGTCGTCGATGATTGGGAACAAATACGCGATATCTGGTTTCGGTTCAGTTCGTACTGGACTCGTGAAGGTATCCCACGATGGGCATCCGTTCCAGAGAAGGTCGACATGGCTATAAGAATGTAAGCCTGAGCTCAAAGAAGTGATGCGTTGCAACTTACAGTTCCCACTGACGATATAGATCTCTGAAAACAGTCAGTGAAGAGGATCTGTAGCTATTATACAAGTACACACCTGTTCTCGTCTTCGGTGTCGTACACCTGCTTGTATGTCTTGAAGAACTCCGCTAGCAGGAGTGGCACCCAGAGATTCTCTATCGATCTTTTCTTGCGCAGATCAATCGCCAGGTCCCTGACTCTCAGGCAATCGACAAGTGTGGCCTCCATCTCAGTCTCGGCTGACGTGCGCTTTACGCTTTTGCCAAAGCTCTCTCTGGTCATATATCCCGTTTCCCTCGATGGTTTCAGGCTCCAGCCTGATGCCACAGCAGTCTTCCCATCCTGCCCTGAGTTTCGAAATGTCTCGAGTTCATCTTTGAAATCTTTCTTACTGTCTGTTGGGGCCTTTTTACGTATATGTCTCATGTACTGGCTCGTGGACCTGAACCACTCAGGAAGCTCGCTGCTCTCATGGATATGATCATAGAAGAATATCTTCTCGTCTCGCAGTACCTTTCGGTTCAACGTGTGTTTACTAGGAGTTGACATCTCTTTATGGCTCGTCGGGTTCGGCTGTATGCGCTGTACGTCGGAGCAAGCGGTAAGTAGGGCTTGGAATAGATGTTTGCACAAAGCAAGTATGGTAAGTTAGGAAAGGTAGTCGATAGCAGTGGTTCATTATAGCCATTTTGTAATGGTCTAGCTTTTCTGTGTATAGGCGTACTAAAATGTAGGATGCGGCGCAGCATCTCGAGTAGACGAGGCTGAAACAGCGTTGGCGACGCACTTGCCAGTTCAGCCTCCGGGCTTCAGCCCCCACGCTGCAGGAGTAACACCATCATTGTCAAAGTTGGCATCGCGTCCATCTCGCCGAAACCAACATCATCCTTCGCGCGTTTTCCAAGCTCAAATCTAGAGTTTCAAAACGTGGTGTAGTATCATATCGAAGTGAAGGATGGAGGATGAGGTTCGGCTACGGTAAACCGCCTTCCCCTCCCGTGGCCCTTGCGCCTGGTGCTAACTTCTTATCGGAAAATGTTCCCTTGATGTAACACGATTCCGAACGCGACGAAGAGTCCGATAGCGAGACCAGCATATTAAGGATACCTCGATGCATACGGTGGTTGGGATGCGAGCTGATGGTGGTGGTAGGTGCTAATCGGCGACCTTTCGACATCCTGCGTCTGATGTCCTTCAGGACGCCCATTATCACTGCAATTGCTGTCATCGATTCAACCTACTCAGTAATAGTATCACACAGATCACCACACGTGGAACCTTGAGATTTCGCTACGGCCCGGAAGTGTCGCCTCATAGCGTAAGGGCAATACCAATTCGAGAGGTATCGCAATATTAAAATGCACTACGACCTGCACCGCATGTCTGTGCTTGCAACATGTTTACAGAGTGTAGCGGAAAAGGAGGCCGGGCCCATTGGCAACACCCTCCAAGCCCACAACCTGATCCGACTTGCGGTTCAGCTTCTGCAGCCAGAAACGCAATACCAATGACGCGGTTGCGCAGCAAAGGAGTGCCACTGTCAACACGATACAGCCCATGCGATAGAGACTGCGTTATGTCGTTAGCAAAAGTTCACATGGCATAGGCTGTTATACTTACGGTGCGCTCCATGCAGGGTACAGGTAAGCGGTAGCGATGTTTGTCGCATTCGACACAGCAGTTGCCAGTGCAAGTGTAACCGCTCTCTTCGCCTTTGGCCGTGCGACCGTTGCTGAGACCCATGGTAGAATGAGTTGGAAGGCGGAGAAAGACCCCATGGCCTGCAGAAACATGGCAAAGTAGCGAGGCCCGGTTTGATATGTTGACATAGAGATGATCTGACCGACCGCGGAGATAACGCATGCGGCCACGATGTGGAAGCAATGCTCGCCTGAACGCCCGGAGTGCCACGAGTTCAGGACGGAGAAGATGAATGCCAGGAAGTAGGGAGGTGCAGTGAGCAGAAGTGTCTCCACGCGGGGGAAGCCGAGTGTCTGCACGATAGAAGGGAAGAAGTAGGTGAAGCTCATCGATACGACGGCGCATGTCTGAATGAAGACAAGGAGCGGCTAGATATGGCGTCTAAAGTTAGCAAAAAATACGAAGACAAGAATTCTCGATATCGATTTACGGCGTCGACCGTAGTGTTCAGGGAAGAAAACATGAGGCAGAGAAGGTACGTACCACTTTCGGGTCAGAGAAAGCCTGCTTCAGCCCAACGAACACGGAATCATTCACTTCGTCTGCCACACCATCGTTTTCGCGATTGAGTCGCCATTGAGCCATCGCCGTCTCTTCTGGTGACAAGAAAGGCGTGTTCGAAGGGTAGTTGGGCAGAAGAGCATACCCAGCGAAGGCCATGATGATCGTTAGGGCTCCTTCTAAGATGAAGATCCTAGAGGTGTGGGAGTACGAAGTCAGTGTATGTCTCACATGCGTCTGTATAGTCACAACTTACCAGCGCCAACTCGGATAGCCACCAAGGCCTTCCATGCCATCGACAATACCTGCTGCAATCAACCCACCAAAGGCTGAAGAGAGGGTATATCCGGAGTAAAAAGTAGCAATGCGGCTTGGTAGCTCTTTTCTTGTATACCAACATGAGAGGAAGAAGATGCATCCAGGAAAGTACGGTGCTTCCGTTACACCGACCAGGAATCTGAGCGCAACCAATCCAGCGTGGTTTTGCACAAAGCCAGTGGCACCAGACACGACACCCCAAATGATGACCACTGTTGGCAGATACAGCCTGGGCTTGAAGATGGAGAGAAGCATGTTCGATGGTATCATCATGGAGATGTAACCAGCCCACAATACCATCACAGCAGTTTGATACTGCACATCGTCGATGCCCAGTGTGGCCTCCAGACCCCCGAGACGTGCATTAGCGATGGCATTTCGATCGAGCACGTTGAGCAGGAAGAGCACGATTAGAATAGGCAGGGCTCGAAAATCGATTTTCCGCACGAGTTTCTTTTCGAGAGCTTTGAGTTGCTCAGGTGTATGACCGCGTAGGATCTCCGGTACTGGGTTGCGAGACTCATTCGTTGCTTCGATGTGCTCAAAGGCCAGATCTTTCTCGAGAGAATGCTTTTCGACGTCCATGTCGATGATAGAGCGGCGCGAATTGTGAAGAGGGTAGTGAGGCGCTCTAGAGCGGAAGCGTGGATGGCGCTACCCCAGGTTTGTGGGGTAGCCACTTCTTATACTAGCCCTCCAGGGCCCCATATCACGTTGTGTTAATCGTCAGCATTATTTAGTTTAGTGTGGCATGGGGTGCGGGGATTCCCGCAGTACGACATATCTTCCGACCGGGTAAGATCGTCCTTGTGGATTACAGTTGTCGTGGTCAGCCAAGGCTAGAGACCACGGCGTGTTGACCGAGATGTACTCGAGACGAGACCGTGTGGTACACCGTCGGCTCCTGGGCGAGTTAGCGATGATGTTTGTTGAGGGAACTGAGGGGAGGTCCGAGGGTTGTGCCGATCACGGTTATTCATGTAGAGCCGGTGCATTGTGCCAACATGCAGCACATGCGTCTAGTCACGGGCTGTGGATATGTTTACACTGCATGCAGCAGACGCATTAAGAAGGTATGAGATCATTGGTGTTGGCCAAATCGCAACACGTTGGTTCAGTTATGGAAATAGATTATTCTGATAAGGAACGAAACAGTTCCATGTGATAGAGATTCTGCATACGTATGGAAGCGTGCTGACTGATTCGAGCATAATCAGAGTTGACACATGATCTTGAGATGTGAGATATTGATGTATTCTAGCTATACTACAGCGCGCAGCATTACGCTGCTACTTCAACAGCATTCACCCGTACATTCTCAACCTTCTGGCTCGTTCTCTCGTCCCCCCTCACACTAGCTTTTGGCGCCAACCCGTCCACATAATCCCTTACAATCTGATCAAACCCAGTATCTCTCGCAAACCCCAGATTCAAAGCCTTCGTATTGTCAAATTCCGCAGGCCAAGAATATAGTATCTTCTTGAGTGTAGGCTCGTCCTTCATCTCTAGCAATGCAAGCTTATCGCTACCACCTACCCTAGCAAGCGAATCCATCATGTCCTGCACTGAGACGCCGATGCCAGGGAAGTTTAAGCAGCGGTCGAACTTTGCGAGGCGGTTGATGTCGAAATCTGTAGCCGCGTACACTAGATTCTGGACTAGAATGCGAGGAGAACAGAGCCAGTGTCGCCATTGCTTGTCTTCTAATGGAATAACGCATTTGATGCCATTCATCGGTTCGCGAATCATGCCACTGATGAAGGAACTCGCCGCGGCGGTTGGTTTCCCTGGCCGTACCGAGACAGTAGGGAAGCGAAGTGAGATACCGTCGATGAAGCCGCGCCGTGTGTATTCAGTAATGAGGTACTCGCACATCATCTTCTCTGCACCATAACTCGTCTCTGGTGTCGGCATTTGAGATTCCGTAACAGGTAGTGTGATGGAGTTGTTGTATACTGCCTGACTTGAGGCGTAGATTACTCTTACTCCCGGACATGTCTTCCTGATAGCTTCGAGTAATGCGCGGGTTGCGTCAAAGTTTGCTTTCATACCCAGCTCGAAATCAGCCTCGGCGCCTGAAGACATGATGCCGTGGAAGACATAGACGGCATCTATGTCTTTGGTAACGACGGAATCTGCTTCCGTACATAAGTCTGCCTTGATGGCTTGTGTCTGACTCCTGGAACGGGCGTCTGGGATGGGCGGTTCGATGATGTCGGTCAGGATGAGAGAATGCGCGCCCTTCTCGTCATCGAGAAGCTTTTTCGCTACAAGTTGGCCGATGAAGCCAGCGGCCCCTGTGATAAGAATACGCATGATGTTTGTGAGAAGACCGGATTGGTGTGAAGTCAGAAGTTTATTTTGTTAACGATATGCTACCAGAGACAACTATGCCGAATCACACTCATATACCGCACGCGCCTGTCATCGGAGCGGTATCTCGACCGATTGCGCGGGCTCGGAACGCAGACATTGCGCTCGCGAGACCTTCTCCTCTCGGTCTCCAAAATCCGTAGCTGTCAGGTGCCTGGAAGTGGTGGTGATGTCGGCCGCGGTTGCAGATGTTGGAGGCTCGTCGCTCCCAGCGAGGCATCGGAGTTTCCGCCGGACCCACTTCTCCGCAATCAGCATCGGTAGATCAGCCAGCGAGGTAACTTCCGCCGCCAATTAACAGCCTCGCATAGATTACCAACGTTTCCAATTTGAGTTGTCATTTTAGTTCAATTGACGTATCGACACTTCTTGACAAGACCTCCCAAGACATGGCAGAAAAGGCTGTTTCTGTAGAAGAAATCAAGAAACATGCGAGTGAGCAGGACTGCTGGATTGTGGTAGATGATGTGGTATGGGACATAACAGAATTTATTCCCAGTCATCCTGGCGGCAATGAAAGTAAGTAATATCTACCTGTGCTTGACAACGATTGCGAACCATGTGTCGGCTTCTTGAACAAACAGAGTTAGTCCGGAGGCTGTCGCGAGAAAGAACAGCACGTTTGGAGTATCCATTAGTGGTACTCGTGTTGTTCAAGAATGTTTTAACGCACTGAGCAATACCGTTCGAGGGAACCACAACTAACATCATCCAGTAATAACCAAACACGCCGGTCTTGACGCCTCGCTAACCTACAACTCCGTTCACTCACCCACGTTGATATCGAAGACCCTGGATTCCAGTAAATGCATCGGCAAGGTGTCCTCCTCCACACCCTCCTACGATCTCTTAAAGCCGCCGCCAACAGAAGCCGCCCAACCGGCCCTCTCAATTGCTTCTAAACCCCCATTAGCCAGCCTAATCAATAGCTATGACTTCGAGGCCGTAGCTGAAAAGGTTCTCGGCAAGAAAGCATGGGCCTTTTACTCGAGTGGTGCAACAAATCTCGTGACGAGAGACGCAAATAAGAGCATGTTTGACCGAATCTGGTTCCGACCTAGGTTATTGAGGAACATTCGTCATGTTGATACTAGCACGAGTATGTTGGGACAAAAGGTCGAGTTACCATTTTTCGTAAGTCCGGCTGCAATGGCGCGATTGGCGCATCCAGATGGGGAATTGGCATTGGCGAGGGGGTGTGAGGGCTATGGGGTGGCACAGTGTATTTCGACAAACGCATCGTTTACCATGAAGGAAATTACTGGGAGCGTACAAAAAGATTCTATACCGTTCTTCTTCCAACTTTACGTCAACAAGGACCGCAAGGCTTCGGAAGCTCTTCTCAAAGACGCAGAAAAGAACGGGATCAAGGGCGTATGGTTTACTATCGACGGGCCTGTACAAGGCAAAAGAGAAGGAGATGAGCGTGTAAAAGTCGAATCAGCAACGTTCGCCAAAGCAGCGATCAGTGGGGCAGCAGCAACAAACGATAAGAAAGGAGGTGGTCTGGGTCGCACAATGGGCGGGTATATCGACGACACTTTCAACTGGGACGACATCGCCTGGCTACGCAAAGCCACAAAATTACCCATCGTTGCAAAAGGTGTCCAAACAGCCGAAGACGCAGTATTAGCTATGAAACACGAGTTAGATGGTATCGTAATAACCAACCATGGAGGACGTAATCTAGACACGTATGCCAGACTCCTACATCCAATCATCTGCATCAACTGGATATTGTGCTGACATCTCGTAGCTCGCCACCCTCCCTGCTTACGCTCCTCGAAATCCGCCGCCACAATCCTGAAGTCTTCAGTCACTTGGAAGTTTACCTCGATTGTGGCGTCCGACGCGGAACAGATATAGTCAAGGCTCTATGTTTAGGAGTAAAGGCTGTTGGTATGGGTCGTCCGTTCCTGTACTCATTGACATACGGGCAAGAAGGTGTGGAGCACTTTATCGACATTATGAAAGACGAGTTGGAAACGACGATGCGGTTGCTGGGCATAACATCGCTCTCGCAATGTCATCCACGGTATCTCAACATAGGCGATGTAGAACATTTGATTCCAAAGAGTTTGGAGTCACCTCTACCTGAGATACCAGAGCGCGAGCTGCGGGCGAAGTTATAAGGCGCTTATGAAGAGCTCATGGTTGGGGAGGTGTATAAATTATGGCCTTTGGTCATCTTTCTACTTCCAACTCAGACTGTTCTGATCAATACCGCTCTCCTTTTTCATCGCACTTTCCTTCTGATACTTCGAATCCAACCCCACTGCCTTCAATACCGCAAATCTTACGTGGTCAACTCCCAACCTCTTTCCTTCCACCATTGTCTCCGCACTAACCCCTAATACCTCCCCTAGCGCACCCCCACCCACCGGCGGCTGAATATCTGCTTTGAGTTTCTCCATCGCCTTCCTAAGTTCCTCGGTTGTACCCTTCGGACTCAGACGCCTCAGCGCCTTCCCATCATGCCGCCTAATCTCCTTGGCATCAGGAATGTAGATTCTGTCCAATTTAGATAAGATGACTTGATGGCTGACCCCTGCTAATCGTAACGAAGCAAGCAGCGAGCGGTCTTTATCCTTGATACCATGCTCAGCATCGATCAGAACAAAGACCCGTCGCAATTGTTTCCGATTCGTAATGTACTTCATAATCTCCGCTCCCCAGCTAGCCAAACTCCCTTCTCCGTACCCCGGCATGTCAACAATCGTCATACCTCCAATCCCCACAATCTTCTCTCTCCCATTCGGCGTCGTCTTCTTAATCGTGACGCCGTTGCCTGCGCCGACGCCATACAGATTCATCGTCTTTGTGAAACCGGGGGTGGAGGAGGTGCGGGCTAAGAGGGCTTTTATATCGGCGCCCATGACGGCGTTGAGGAGCGAAGACTTGCCGACGTTGGAGCGGCCTACGAAAGCTACTTCTGGCACATCGGATTCGGGGAACAGGCGAAACTGGGCGACGCTGCGGAGGAGTTTTGCAGCGCGGCCGTGGGTGTTGAAGAAGGTGTTTGCGGTGGTTTTCTGGGCGATTGTCGGAGGGAAGGTGTCCCAGTACCAGTTGAAACCTTGGAGTTTGTTTCGGGCAAGTGATTCAGCAGTGACTGGAGTCTCGGTGGTTGGTTGGGACTTCGGTTTTGTGCCTAGGGGTGCTGAGGGTGGAGATGGTATCAGCTCTGGCTCAAGGTCCTTTCCCTTTCGCTTCTTTCGAGACGCTGGTTGTGTAGCAAGTTGTGATTCAAGCTGCGACGACGCATGCTTCCCTGCTTGCCCAGTCTCCAATCGATCTCTGGATTTCCGCCCCGCTTGTTGTGGCACTTGTGCCTCAAGTTGCGATAATGCGTCCCCCATTGCATCTCCTCCTGCTTCCACATTTCCCATCTCCTGACGGATTTCTCGCCTGATCCGTGCTGGCAATGGTGCAGTTTCCACGGATGCAGCTGTCGAGGATCCATGTATTCCTGCTCTTCTCCGCATGCGTCTCTCTCGCATCGACATCTGTCGCGGTTCCTCGTTTGTCACGTTCGGTTTTTGCTCTTCGTTCAACTCCAGATGGAAATTACTCCTTGTCTTGCTCATATGCAGTGTACTCCTTGTGGGCGATGTCACCCTGAATTTCGCCCTGGCATCCCCATTCCAATGCTTGTGTATCCGTAACCTCGCGTTCGGCGCATCATCTTGAGATGCAGTATCGGTGGACTGCGGGCGCAATTGCGGACGTGTGAGGAGTGTAGAATGTTGGCGCGATAATCGTTGTATGCAATCCCGACATACATAACGCGAACTCGGCGGTAACTTATTCATCCCGTTTCACACCAGAAGTTCTTCTCGGTAGCTGGTGGTGGATGATGAAGTTCACGCTTGGTCCAAGCGTTACAACTGCCATCTTTTCGCCGCAGCACTTCCGCAGTGGACTTCTTCAACACCCAATCTCGAAACCTACTGTCGCTCCACAATTACGTATAATTCCGAATCAATTCGCTCATAATAAGACAAACAAAATGGCACAAACGCCCACCCCCCAGATCCGATCCATATACCGGCGTCTCCTCCGCGAACTCCCCTCCACACCCCAGACAACGCGCACGCAGCACCAAAAGCTCTCTTCGCCGTCAAAACTCCAGCAACGTATACGTCAAACACTCTCTCGACCGAGCCCAACTGGAAACGCCCAAAGCCAAATTGCGCAGGCGGAACAGTTTATCCAATACGTACAGGCGCAACGCACACATTCAACGTTGCTCGAGCGATATAATCCGGGTATGGGCATGACGGAAGAGGAGAGGGTCAGGCTGAGCGCGAGGAGGGTGGGCATTAACTTGCCGGTTGAGTATCAGGAGGAGAAGTGAGGTGTTAGCATATACTGTAGGATGTATTTGCGTGTGGTGGGGATCCTGTAAATTATATTGGTTCTGTTGGGATGACAGGAAGGAACGATGCGCATTTGTATGAACGAAACCAGGACAGAACAATGGGGGAACATGTGCATCACGACATGAAGACGGAGTGGGACGTGGATACGATACATGGACAGAGTAGCATAGACTGGAGTGTACAGATGTATTAGAACTGTGCAATAAATGCAAGACCACAACGTCTACAAATCTATAAATTCGAGAGTAATGCCACCTCTTACAAACCAAAGTCTGGCAATAGTCTCGCCAATGAAGGGTATGCTGCTTTTAGTATAACATAACTCCGTATTCGCCATCTCCTTGCGCATATGGCGCGTGTTTTTGGTCTATCCTCTTGGTAGTTTCATGAATGCCTCGCGGATTATCCACCACAAAATACAGCACTACCGACAGGCTTAGTCTTCAAACTTGATACCCTTTCCACCGCTCGTATCGATCATGCCGCCCCTGTAACTACCCCTCTTTCCCTTGTTCTTCTCCTTGGTGAATCCCTTTCCCTTTGTAACAATCAACTTGGCGTGCGCGCGGTCGGCGTAATCGTAGGAAACGTAGGCGTTGCTAGCGAGCTTGGGGTCGACTTTGACGTCAGGCTTGATGCGCTGGAAGCGGTTTTCGACGTGGCTGCGCTTTGACTTGGGCGCGTCGGCGGAAGGGGAGCTGGCCTTGCGCTTGTTGGAGGAGGGCGCGGGGGAGTTTGCAGGGAGAGTGGCGGAAGAGTCGCTGGCGGAGGTCTTACGCTCGAGGGCGGCGGGCTTCTTCTCATCGTCGTCGCTGCTGCTGTCGGATGATGAGTCGGAGTCGGACGAGCTGTCTGAAGAGCTGTCGGAAGAGCTGGAGTCGCTTGAAGAGGAGGATGTGGAAGCTTTCTTGGCGGTCTTCTTTGTTTTCTTGGTCTTGGCTGGCTCTTCGTCGGAGGAGCTATCAGAGTCGCTGGAATCGCTGGAGTCTGAAGAGTCTGAAGAGTCCGAAGAGCTCGAGGCAGACGATGATGAGACCGAGGCGGCCTTCTTGCTCTTCTTTGCCTTTGTAGTCTTCTTCTCAGCTTCTGACTCGGAACTGCTGTCGCTAGATGAGTCACTGGAATCGCTGTCTGAGTCGCTCGAGGAGGAATCGCTTGACGCATCGGACGAATCGGAGTCAGGTAGGGGTACGTTCGCAGGCTCCTCTTCGGAGCTGCTATCGGAATCGCTAGAGTCGCTAGAATCGCTGGAGGAAGATGCAGAGGAAGACGAGACCGACTTGGCCTTCTTTGCCTTCTTGACTACAGCCTTTGCCTTCTTGACTGGCGCGCTTTCTTTCTCAGATTCGGAATCAGAGTCGGAGCTGTCGCTGGAGGAGTCGGAACTGGAGTCGGAAGAGCTTGATGAGCTGGAGGCATCCTCCTTGGCCGGTGCCTTGTTCGCAGCAGTCTTCTTGGCCTTCTTTGGCTTTGCTTCAGCCTCGGATTCGCTGCTGGAGTCGCTGCTGGAATCACTGCTCGAGTCGCTGCTGGACGCGCTTTCCTCGTCCACGTCCATTGGCTCGGGCGCATTCTTCACAGCATCCTGCAGAGATTGCGCAAAGTTCTCGAGCTTGCTAGCAGCGCTCTTCTCTCCCTGCTGCTCGAGGAAGTTCTTGATCACGTCAAGCGGAGCCTCGACGTTCTTGGTTGCAGATGTCTTCTTCTGCTTCTTGTCGGCGCTCGACTTCTTGGAAGCCTTCTTGTCGGAAGCCATTGCGCGTGATGTGTTCGGTGAATCGTGTAGTAGTGCGGTGTGGTGAGGGTGTTGAGGTGAAAGTAGCAAATGTTGGACGAGAAAAAAGTTAGGGCAGGCAAGCGGAATGGTTCAGCGCCTCGATGGCGCTAGACTGCAAGCGTGATCCCTGTCCCGCGCGCCTGCCGTCTCATATGGAGTACACGACGCCAGACGTCTCTCTCCGCACAGGAACTCATGCAGTGCTTTCACCCCAACCACACATTCTTCCCTCGTGCTGCGCATTGGTAGCACTTCTCCTGGGCCTACCGCATTGGACGCCCCGATTGCTACACACCGCCGCTCCCACTCGTTGACGCCCTACCGACCAGGCATCGCAAGACTCATTTCCTACCCTTCGCGATTCATGGCAACTCCCAGAGGACCTCTCGCTAGCGCCCGGCGGCAGTAATCGGCGCACCTTGGACGCATACGTCAAACCACCAAACCGGTCTCATAGATAGCCTCATACCAAGATGGAGGGGAGGCCACGCAACTACACCAATGGAGCGGGGGATCCGCGAGCTCCTGCACAGCGTCCACCTGGCAGCTCGAGGGGCGCTCCTTCTGCCACGAGCTCTACGCCCTCGGGCATGTCGCGCGCCGAACGATTCGACGACGAGCGAAAGAGAATCACCGAGAGCTGCTTCTCCAAGACGGATGATTCAGGCCAGCGTACGTCTTCATCTGCAAACCCGTACCCGTCAGGACAAGTCCCTGGCGTCTGGCTCGGTATGCTGTAGTGCAAGCTAACACGCGCCAGTCCAAGAGTCCTACATTACCCACATCCGCGTCCAAGAAGATGGCAGCTACCCCCAGTCCCCTCCCCCACCGAGTTCCGCTCCGAACAACAAGAAGGCCAGAATCATCATGATATCCGTGCGAAACACAGGCAGAGTCAAGCTGCACAAGGCCAGGGAGAATGCCAATGGTACCTTCTCCATCGGAAAATCCTGGCCCATGGAGGAGCTTTCGGCCGTGGAGAACTACACACATCTTGTTCCCGCCAATGAAGAGGAGGCACAGCGCAAGCTATGGGCTGGAGAAAAGGGCTTCACCGTGACCATCGGCAAACCGTACTATTGGGAAGCTGGCACTGCGAAAGAGAAGGAGTTCTTTATTGGAAGTATGGTTAAGATCTTCAACAAGTACACTAAAGGAGACTTTCCCATCTTGACCGGATTCAACGTGACGGAGCTGAACAGCCTGACCAACGGACAGCCGCAACTGGCAACACCAGAAGGACGAGCCGCATTTGCAGCTGGCGGACAGGGAGGCCAAAGCCCAGCGCAAAGACGACCAGGGCCTCCAGACCAAAGGCCCATGCCTCCAAAATCGCCTGGCCCACCCCCGAGGAGACCCGGAGAATCTCCGCCTATATCGTCCGAGGCTCTTCCGCCTGGAGCAAACCCAAACTTCCGCAGACCTCCAGGAGCGCTGGATGGCCCAAGGAGACCGGCACGACCAGACGATGCGGGTAGACCAAGCACTGGGGACAATGCCCGTAGGCCTATGCCATTTGCGCCGCTGAATTCAGTTCAAGCTGCACCATCTATGCCCGATCTTCGCCAAAAGCGGTCCATGGACCCAAGCATCCGCTCTAGGCCTAGCGGTGATAGCATCCGGCCTCGTCCTGGCCAAGCACCCAGCCCTCTGGCACCAGTACCGCAATTCGCGTCACGGAATCTCACACCACAATCCTCAACTTCAGAATTCGCTAGTCGACCGCGAACACCGGACTCGGGTAATCTCCCAGCAAGTCTTAGTCCAGGACGTGGACTGCCGCCACGTGAAGATGCACAGTCTCAGCGATCAGAGAGATCCTTTGATGAGCCTTCTATGGATGGCGCAGCTCCGGGTATTGCGCCACCAGACCCGCGCAGACAGAATGGGTACCCCTCCCCTAGGAGAGATCCGTCGCCCAGGGGTCTCAGACCTGGGACGGCCCAAAGCGCTGGAAGACCTGGTACTGCACAAAGCAACACCAGTTCAAACTTCACTCGAAATGATGATATGCCTCCAGAAGAACCTCCCCAGAGGAGGAGGCCGCTCATGGAACCCCGTCCATCCAATTTGTCGCAACGAAGTGTTGATAGCCAAGGCGCAGAGCCACGTTCAGTTTTCCACACGCCGTCTGGCTCACCTGCTCCACCAATGGAAGTACCACCACGGAGACGACCTCAGGAAATACCGGAGAGATTGAAGCCTGTTTCTCAGGAAAACATCGCACCTCCAACAGAAACACTGCCTCCGCCATCACAGCCTACGCCACCCCCCACAGCACCACTTCCGCAGCTACCGACAGCGCAATTGCCACAAGCACCCCCACCAGAGGAAGTACCGTCACCAGTAGCACCGGTGCCTGTAGCGCAACCGACTACGCCTGAGCGGCCTGCACCTGTCGAGCGCACCAACTCGATGCCCCAAGAGTCAGGGGACGAAGGATCGCAGCGCCCTGGCCTTGGACCGATGGTCAAGAAGACATTAGGCAGCGACAGTCCAGCAAACAGGTTCCGTAAGGCCGCAGCAGCGGCAGGTGCATTCAAGCCTCGTGCTGGCGGAGCTGCTGCGAAACTCTTCAATAAGGAGACGAAGACATCCGATGAAGCAGATGGTGTTAACGCTGTGTTTGTGCCTCAGCGGCCAACACCTAAAGAAACCCCCAAAGAGGAAATTGAGAAGAAGCTTGAAGAGCCTCCTAAGCCTATACCAGAGACGAAACCCTTGGAGCCACTGCGTGTTAGCACCGAGGTAGTTCCATCCGTGACAGTGTCTGGCCCGTCCACCAACACTGTGGGTGGCGCTGTCCAAGAGGTTGAAGAGCAACCTGCCCCACCGCCTCCAGAGAAGGCAGCATCAAGAACTGTCGAGCCCGAGCCGGAAGTTCGCCGAAAGAAGCGCAGGTCTAATCAGCAGATTGTTAACATATCGAAACTCGGCATAGATCCCAGCATCATCGATGAACGGGGTTTGGAGTTTGAAAGTATCCTGTCTGAGCTTGGATGGGGAAACAACGAGCTCTCTTCCAAGCACATTGAATCTCTGGAGAACGACATCAAACGCGAAATTGCCCGCGTGGAAGCAGGGAGTTGGCTCAATCATCTGGAGCAAAAAGACGATCGCGTGGAGGCTGTTGAGCGCATGTTAGACCGCGCCATCGCAGAATGCGACGAGCTTGAAGGTCTACTTACCTTGTACAAC